AGACACACATACTGACACACTTATTTAGTGTGTCAGTATGTGTGTCTGTATTCAGAAATTTCCTAACAATGTGGCATGTATTCAATATAGTGGCCTGCTGTATTGTGATGTATGTATTTCTACTCAATTGTAATGTTCCCAGGCTTTTGTGTAGTGTGTGTGGTATCACACCTTTACAGGAAAGAAAAACAGGTACAATAAGCACCCTTTCCATCCTCCACAGATGCCTCATTTCCTGGGCGAGTTCTGTATACTTTCTAATTTTTTCAGTGCATGTGTTTTGTACATTGTGAGTGTTTGGAATGGCTATGTCTATAATGTATGTGATTTTATTGTGTTTGTCAACAAGTGCGATGTCTGGTCTGTTGTGATAATTTGTTTTATCTGTGATTATGGCTCTGTCGTAGTACATTTTGTGCGTGTTGTTTTCCAATACTCTCTGTGGAATATACTTGTAGTATGGTTCGTGGATGTCTGCCAATTTGTGTTTCTTTGCAAGCTCTTGGTGTATTATATTTGCTACTTGATTATGTCTGTGCAAATAATCTGTCTGTGCCAAGAGCTTGCACCCAGAAGTGATGTGTTGTATAGTTTCTGGCATGATGTGACATTTTCTGCATGTGTCATTTGTGAGTGTTGTATTTTTGAGTATACGTTTTCTGTAGTTTTTAGTATTTATGACCTGGCAATCATGAATCCTTCCGTCTCCCTAAAGAGGCATCCCAGATCTAACCAGCTGTTTGACGCAGTTTTGTCAACAAAATCCTGGGCCAGGTCATAAGGATGCCTGCCATGGAGTGATTGCTTGATGGTGTCTATGCTTTTTATATGTTGTGTCATGTCTGTATGTTGTGAGTGTAAGTTTAATGGTATGCTATTTGAGTCTGCTAGAGTTACTGCTATATGTAATTGTGATGTTTCTTGTTTCCTGTAAAAAAACTGTCGCAGTGACTGTATTTGTTTGTAGTGAAGGTTAACTATGTCAATCAGGCCACGTCCGCCATCTTTACGTGGAAGGGTTAATCTTGCTGTGGCTGATTTAGAATGATGATGTTTATGCTTAGTAAGCGTTGTTCTTGTTTTCCTTTGGAGTTGCTCAAGATCTGTGTGAGTCCAATGTATAACTCCAAAAGAGTATGTGAGTACTGGGATGACATATGTGTTTATTGCTTTAACTGTGTGTTTTGCATNGTCGCTTTCTCTTAACACTTCCATTCTTACTTAACACTTCTAAATCTTCCAACTTCTCCCCAGCGAGAGGAATTTCGAGAAAGCGCTTCTTGGTGTACATTCTCGTGACGTACCCTAAATCTGTACCAAATTTCAATTATAAACCCCTAAGATCAGTTGCAACATTTCTATTTAATACTGTAATTTCAATTTAATTTAATTTTATATTGATTTTTATTTGTATGTTGTGGATTGAATTTTTTTACAGGAAAATGAGAGAGAATACCAGCTATTCTACTATTATCCTAAAAATGGTATAAACGTGAAAGCAACTCTATTACCTTCATCATTTAAACAAATAATACTTAATTAACACATGTTATTGAAATCAATTCTATTCGAGGTAATACAATCTTTGAAAACTTATTTGTATTCATTGCTGTTTCAAATTGAATAATAAAAAATAATGTTAAAAATAATTGATGGATTCTTAAGTAAATATTGTTCAATGATACTTCTAATTTCAAATATTTGTTATAGTAGCTGTTTATTCATTCGTATATATATATATGTATATCTTGAAAAATCGTGGAAAACCTTCTTTTTGTAAAGCACTAAGTAGGGCTTTTAAAACCTCTTCAGTGCCATACAAAAAGAAGGTTTTCCACGATTTTTCACGATAAGGTAAGCCCGAAAAGCATATGTAACCTCTATCTTCAACAAAGGATGTTTCTAATTTAATTTAAAGGCTGTAAGATAGTCTACAGCCTTTAAATTGTGATTTGTTCGGATTAAACAGACATATATACGTATGAATATTTTTACTTGTTTCTTCCTTTTGATTTATTTAATAATGGTGAGTTTGGAAAGTAAACGTTTAATAGGATAATTTTGGAATTGTTGACAAAGTATCTTTTATTTGTTGAAATTATCTTTCTAATTATTTGTAAGAGCAAAACATGGAAAATTTTAAGTAATCTTTCCTTATAACATTCTCATATACGAAAATACTTTGATTAAGTCCATATAAGAATATTGTAATTTATCTTCTTGCACACTTTTACATAACAAGAAATCCAAAATAATGTTCACAATAAACAATAGTTGAGTTTATAAATATTTACATGAAACCATGGAGATGACACAGTTTCAACCAAATAAAATTCTTCCCTTAAATATAGAAAAATTAATTATTTATTCAATTATTCAATAAAATTATACAAAGGTTTATTCCTTTCTTATAATATTGCAGTGAATAACTGATTATACAAAGGTAATATTTTTAAATATATAAATTCGAATTAAAAGTAACGAATTTGATGTTGGTAATTAATTTAATTTGAAGCTTTACTACAATTTTTACTTGAAATTTCCTTTTATTATAGAATATTTTAACAGTTTAGTCACGGAATACGTGTGCAGAAACAAAACTTCGAACATTTTCAAACGATCGATGTATTGATCTTTCGCTTTAATCAAAGAAGCCATTTATAACAAGTTATTGTTTTTATATACTTTTTTTAATTGTACCACTTGTTAGATGACCCAGTTGTATGGCTTTATCCCATTTATGAAATCCAAAAATCAAATTATATTTCGTGTCTTAATTAAAAGATTCAATGTATAAAATAATGTATATTGTCATGTATATATTAAAACTAACTGTACAGAAATATACACCGATATTACATTTATTTAAGTTACGTTATATAATTATCGAACTGTTTATATAGTTAAATTAATGTTTTTGAGCACGTTTTATAACAATAATTGCAAAACTGTAACAGTTGATTTCGTGACACAATACATAGGAATATTGCATGCAAATAAAATCCATTTTATTTGGTACAACTGTAGAACAAAGGTGAATTTTTCACTTCGTTTCGAAAAATAATGAAATGTTTTACATTGTGCTTATTTTTAGTAATTCATTTTCACATAAAAAAGGCAAGTGGAAATACAAGTAAGTAGATACTTGATTCGTGTAGTAAGTTCAAATTACTCGTCATTTGCTCCCCTTTGACCGAATTGCTATCTAGTGTCGTTTTCCGGCTGTTTGTCAGGGTTTCTACGTAAAAATACGTTTTATTATTTAAATACATTACTATTATTTTGAATTTCTGAGCTCCTGATACGAGTCTAGTAAATCTAATTAAAAACCTGATCTTGTAGTTGTTACATGTCGTGCTGAAATTTTGCATAGTAAAAATAATTAGCCAGATGCAAAGGAAAAAGGCAATGAGAAATGAAAACTTAAATAAATAAAAGTATTTTATAATTACATCATTAAAAAACTAATGCTATATTATATATTATATACTGTATATATATATATTTACATACATATATACATATTAAAAGAACTGGCATAATTTCTTAAAATTTTTTGATAAACATTTCTACAAATTCAATTAAAATAAGTGTTCTAAAAAGTAAATTCATAATTATATGTGTATATATAATTTTCGTTCCATTGGAATCTTATGATTATTTTCATTTGGCTATAATTTATATAAAAATTTAATATTTTAATGGATTGTTTTTGAGAAATTAATTTTATTAAATATAAAACATTTAAAATTATTTTACTATAATTTTATGTGTCATAATGTATTATATTATTGAAATTATCTGTAAATATTATTATTTTTAGAAAACTGTATAAGAGAAATTGACATTCTAAAACATTTTATTCGTATAATATGACTATGCTTTTTCTAAACATAGTTGCCTTTCATAACGAATGTAACTTTCACTTTATGCCAGACACAATTTCAATGGCCAGTTGCATAAAGTAACAAAGATATTTTTCAAATAACTTGCAAGTTGTCGTCATTAACTAATTTCATGTTAATGCTATTCAAGGGGAAAGTCTATGATTTTAAATCAGATTCTAGAAAATTATTTACTATTTGTATTGTTGAGTATTTAGAAGTTATAAAATTGTTATCATTTTATATTGTTATAAATATATATCTATGTATGTGTAAAGCCATTTACAATGAAGTAAACTTAAGCTAATACTTGTGTAACAGAATTTAAGATTTCTGTTTAGTAATACAATGGAACCTGGTTAACTCATACCTGGATAACTCAAATTTATTCCCTGACTGATTTGAGTCAACCAGGTTCTGCTGTAGTTTTTTTGGAAGAATATTCAAGTATTAACTGTTTTAACTGTAAAATTATTTTCTACATTTTGGAATAAAATGATATATTTAAGAATGCTACATCTACATTCAGACTTAATTTTAGTGCCACAAAATTATAGCAAATAAACTAAGCCATTTTTTATAGTAGGAAAATGAAGGACTTATTTTCTTTAGTTATATGTACAATATTTATAATGTAAAAGCAGATAAATTAGATTCTATTTGACTTTTATTATAAGAATTATGTCTGTTGTATGGTTAAGATAACTAGTGTGAATTTATTTTTATCTTATCGGTATAAATATTTGAGTTTGCCACCAATTCAAATGGATCAGATTTGATAAAACTAATGTAATGACATTATTGTTACAGTATATGTTTTAATATTTAATTACATTATTAATTATTATAGTAGATTATTGATTTAACAGACTAATTGGATGAAGAGAAGTATGCTATTGCTAAAAATATAAGTATGAATAAAATAATAATATAATGTACGTTGAGTAATTTATACTGATTAACATGTTGATCCGACCTTTTATCATGCTCTATTCGTGAATAAAAATAGTTTTAAATATTTTCTACAGGACAGATTTTTTTTTGTTTGTTAAATCTGAAGTCTGTTAGTGAGTCTCTACTTTATAACTAAACATACTCAGAAGAANTAGCTATAGAGTTGCTAAACCAATTGCAAGACAAATTTCAGGAAAAAGAGGAATAATTGGTCAACTCCTAAATGATGTAAGGAGAAGATATACATTTTGTTAAATGTAATTTATTATTTATTTTATTTATTTACCTTGTCAAAAAGTTTTGTTTACTTTTTTATAAAGAAGGATCACTGGCGATTAAAAATTTTGAACTTTCAAGCTTACAGATTTGAGGAGTTAAAGGGGGTGATGTATCGTTGCTCGAGTGGGGTCGGAATTAATATAAATTTTACTCATAATTAGCATATACAACTATTTTAATAAGTAATCTCTTCTTTCAAAATTAAGCCTCTTTTGGTAATTAATAATATAAATTTATTTTCATTTCAAAATGATCAGACTGTTTAAGAGTGAAGAATGAAAGACTGCACCACATACTTATGAGTATAGTAATCGAAAAAACAGAGAAGTACATATGATAAATGCCATCAATTCTTTTACAATTTCTGCATGAGAAATTGGCATATCAGTATAAAAGTAACGTAAATGATGTATTGAAACGAATGGAAAATTATGTAACTGATGAATGTAAGGATAAAGGAGAAAGTTCATAGGTCACCATTCAATAAACATAAAGTAGATAGGAAATTAAAAAATTATTCCGTGTGAATATTGGAAGACCACTAAAAGTTTGTTCCTTAGACTGAGGCGATTTCGAAAATTACACATAGTTCCGATTTCACGAATTTTTGATACATTGTTTTGTAGTTACACGGGGGTTCTTATTTTTTGCCAATCTCACCAGAATTCTAAAGGTAATTCTGGATCACGGATTGGTGTTGTTGGAAAAAAAGTTAAATACTTGAAGTATTCAGTAAATCTGATCATGAGAAAATATTCATGATCGAAACTACCTGTAATCACTATATACTACTGAATCAATGATTAAAATGCGAGGAAATACAGTGGTTTGAGGCAGCCATAAATAAGCTACTGCGACTATACTGCTACTGTCTTCAATTTTTTTTGATCGAAGACAGTGGTCTTCGATCAAAAAAATTGAACTAAACTCGTAATTATAATTAAAACAATAAAAGAACTCTTCTGGTTCAAACACCTAATCGGTTACCAACGATTCCAAGTTTCCACAAAACCCATATTACATGAAGACACTCAAAGTCAATAAACCTAGCTAGAAATCCTGATTATTGAAAAAGAACAAAGAACCTTAACACTCGGTATTATTTTGAGAGGCATTTTGTGCAAACTTGAAGGCACAGGGTGTAAAGTTAAATAGGTTTTTCTTTTGTAACGATTTAGAAAGTAAATAATTTGTAAAGAAAAATAATTGCATTTTGTTTTAAATTTGGATAAAAGATTTAACAATTAGAAATGTTTGTCAATGATATTAGATATAGGAATCACTATGTAACGGGCCACGGCATTTCGAATGTAATATTATTTTAGCAATGAAATAACAGAAAACTATTCAAATAGCTGTTAGATAGTATGATTTTATAATTATAGGAAGCGGATATTACTTTTTTTCCTCTACTTGTTACAAAAGATCGAGCCGAAAATCTTATCTATTCAACTAGTACAACAGTGTCTGAGATCAAATTTGTAATTCGTACCCAAACAGCGAAGCATAGTGTGAATACACTTACTAAACCATTTTCAATACAAGTAAGGTTATTTTTATAAGTAAATCTTAACTTAATAAAATATAAAAAATAAGTAATTTTATGTTATTGTTATTAGATCTGGATTACGATATTCATTACCTTTATCCTCTTCGGATTTACCCTTAATAAAATGGTACAAAATGAATCTAGATTGAACAGAATGATTTACACTTGGACAAAGAGTAAAGTATTTTGGTTCATGTTCGGTAGTTTCACAAGTCAAGGTAAATTATTTTAGTAAATAGTAAAAGAATTGATTAATTAATATTAATCTTGTTAATTTTAATTTTTATATTATTTTTGTATAATTTAGGAGGAAGATTTCGTACTATTAAAAAAAGTCGTTCCAGATTATTAGTATCAATTTGGTTACTTTCTGTTCTGACTATTGCATCCAGCTATGGAGGAACTCTCATATCATTTTTGACTAGACCAACAGTACTTTCTGTACCAAGCACGGTACACGAATTGGCTTCTGATGTTACTAATGGAGCGTATTCTTGTGGCACAGAATACGCGAGTGCAGTAACAAAACTTGTTTTGGTGAGTTAAAAATTTAATTTTATGTATCAATATTACGCCAGACAGAGGATTACAATAGTCTACATGGCAACTCGTAATTCATTCTTATTCTGAAGGAGTGATGATTGCAGAATCTGATCTAACTCTGTTTCTTATTGATGATATTTACACTAAACTCATTTGACATTAAATAAATGTGAAAAATGTCTTTTATATATAAAAAATAATGAAATTTGAGCTCTTGCTACATGAATTTATATACTAATGAATAAATTATGGGTAAAAACACTAATTATACATCAATGAGTAAACTAGAATAAATTGGTTTCTTGGAACACAGTAAATTTTATTAAATTAATAAATACATGAAAACAAATTTAAAATATAAATGTCATTATTGGAAATTATAATAAAAGTTGTATTATTTATTTATTTTCACAGGGTTCACAGTCAGGAGATGCTAAAATTTTAGCAAATAACGTGAAGGAGAATAATAACATATACACTCTTGAAAAAGCATTCAACAGAGTTTTAAATGATAATTTTGTTTTCATTTCTAAAGATTACATTCTTTCCAAATTTGTAGATGAACATGGCCCAGCAAACTTCTTAATTTCAAAAGATTCTTTTCTTACATTACCTACAGCTTATTTAATGAGGAAAGACTTTCAATATAGAAGAAATATCAGCAAAATGTAAATAAAACAGTAAATTTATTTAATAATTATCGTTTTAATAATTTAAAAAAATATTTTTAACAAAACATTTTTTTAACATAAATTTCTAGACTCGTACGATTACTAGAAGCTGGAATTACTAGATATGATGATTATTCAAATGGTGATGTTGGTAATAAATCTGAAGTTTACACATTAAGTATTGAACATTTGTTTGGTGCCTTTTATCTTCTTTTTCTGGGTTACGTTCTTTCTATTTCTTGTCTGTTCGTTGAGTGCATAATAGGGAAAAAGAAAATACCCTTTATTGACGTTCACTGTACGTATAATTGCAAAGAAAGAATTTAAATAAAAAAAATTAAATATACAGTAGAGCCTTGATTATCCGACTCAATTGGGGACTGGGGTCGGTCGGATAATTGAAAAGTCGGATATCCGAAAAGTATGAAAAAATCCATTATTAGTGTAGTATATTATTATATCCCATGTAATTAGTATATTATTATATCGCTATTAACCTACTTCGCGTTGAATTTTCCTCCATGTTAAGCCTATCAAAATTTTTATTAAAAATAATAATCGTCGCTATTGTATTGTTAAAAATTAGAAAAATTAAGCCTCGTTTAAATACTGGCTCCCTTTCATGGTCGAGCCAGTGTTGACAGCTAAAACACGTAAAAGTACTATTAAAATAGCCAAGACATAGCCAAATATTGTAGCGCCACATCACTAGCAGACATTTGAAATTTGCCGACTAGGACGGTCGGTTAACCGAGGTGTCGGTTAATCGGGAGTCGGATAATCGAGGCTCCACTGTACAGTCATGTTGTAAATTTAAAACAAGTTTCTCTCTGTTTCAGCTTCCTCTACAAGTGTTCAGTAAAACGCATAACCGAAATAGTCTTTTTTTGACAAAAAAGCACAATATTCAACCGTGACTTCGCTGAAAAGAGAACACATTGTGTTTTACACTCTCATCAGTATAATTGAAATTATTCTCTATTTCCTGAATAATTCATCTTAATTTTAATTAATAATTGAAATTTGATGACAACTATCATTTCATCTAGTCTAGAAACTACCTAGATTAGATAAAAATTAATTGTGGTACAAAAGAAAAGTGGAGAAAATGATCCTAAGAGGTTGACAAATTTTAATGCTATTGTAGTGAAAAATGTTCACTTAAAATAGATGCTAAACAACAAGAAGCTTGCTGAACAAAGTATAATATTGTAAATAAGTTGTATTACCTATGTCACTGTTAATTAATCGATGTATCATGGCATATATTATCAATAAATTGCATTTTAAAAACACTCGAATCGATAATTTGATATTATCAATTACCATTAAATTTCTCAATGCAATGAAATATCATAGTTCATTCTTACCACCGTCCTTGAAACTATCACTAAAGGTGGAAGAAGAAATTCAAGACCTAAATAAGCAAAATGAGTAGATACAAGTTGTTTATCTTTTGGTTCTGGAAATGAAATTTCAAGTAATAAATTAATTTTTGGTTATTAATAAATTTATATAAGTTTATCGTAGCTGAAGATAATGTAAAATTCCATTTCGGCTTCTAATTCGGCTACCAAATTTAGTTTTGTCAGACTTTCCCTGTTATGAAAATGTAACCGTACAAGATGCGATACTAAAGTATCTATACCGGTATTAGTATCCAGACATCCTAATGTATAAAAGTAAGAAAATTGGTTTAAGTCATATTTGTATGTACAAATTATATCTTTTAAAAATCATAGTTATTTCTTATAATATTGTAAAAAATGAATATATTTAAGTAATTTAATTCAAAGTTTAGTTTATTATTAATTTTTCTATATTCAACAAACAGAATTCTGCTTACTTGAAATTGTGTCATCTCCATGGTTTGACGTAAATATTTTCAAAGAAAGCAGTAAGTAATTATAGACATTATTTTTAATCTTTTTTGCTATGGACGTAAATACCTAGAAGGAGAAGAGTAACGATACTGTTATGTTTATATTAATAATAAATTTTCGTTATATTACTTGTGGTAAGATTTTTCGTAATTAAGTAAATGTATTACTATGTTCTAACCTGTAATAGCGTTAAAGAGTTGAGGATCGCGAAATCCTTTCTCCCGTCAGAATCTGACACCAATCTATCAATTTCTTAGCGGATAGATACGAGTTAGATTAAGGACAAATTATCACGAGTGATCTCGTGGAGGACTTCGTGTTCAGTATGGAGGTGATAATGTCGGAAGAAACGCACACCAATCAAAATTCATTAACATTATACCCGTTTATTGTTGAACATTTTTACATAGATGATTAATTAAGGAATCGAGGTTACAGATCCTTCTCGGGACTTTCAGTCCGTATAATTCATAGATTTCGGGTTGATAGCGGACAAAATACAGGTTGGACCAAAAACAATATACGTATTTCAAACTGATATATTTAATAAACTGTAAGACATACAACTATGGAACTTGGGACACATATTTATGAAACTCTCTAGTTTAGATTACAGGTGTTCAATATGTCCTCCACCAGCGACACGAACGGTCCGTGCGGGAGTTCCGTCTGGGTTTCCGGGAACCGGGGTCTGGGCGGGAGTTCGGTCCAAGCTTCATAACTAACCTGCGTCTCAAAACACGCCAAACTGTTGTTTTAGGCAGCTGCAATTCCCGACTGGCACGACGTGTTGATTTTGAAGGGCTACGTTGGTAAGCAGCTTGAATCCGTGCGACATTTTTTTCAGATACACGAGGTCGGCCAGGACTCTTTCCTTTACATACACAACCTGTGTCAACAAACTGACGGTACCATCTGCGAATGTTCCATCCATTCGGAGGATCAATTTCTTACCTCAACCGGAAACGTTTATGCACTGTAATCACGGAATTACACTTCGCAAGCTCAAGAATAAAAAGGTTTTGTGCTGTGGCGTAACCATTTTACAACAACTGTGAATACGTCATTGTTACCAAGCAGAACTGACATCTGGGGACAAACTAGACAATGCACTCGTTCCTCCGATACCCGCAACACACCGCTACTATCGATAGTTTAATAAATATATCAGTTTGAAATACGTACATTCTTTTTAATCCACCCTGTATATATTAGTCGCGACCCTAACCATGATTTGGAAATACTCGAGAGAGCTTACATGTCATCGCGGGTACAGTAGGATAAATACCTCTAGTTATAAACGTTGATGTCTAGTTGATCCAAATTCTCGTACTTCCCAGCTTCGAAATTCAGTTCGAAGTCGTAGTCAAAGTCGTAATCAAAGTCAGAATTGTAAAGTCTATCGAAGATGGTGGCGACGAGAGGCAGGTAATCCACACACACACACAGTACAGAAAATAACTTTCCCCCCTGTGTCGTCATCGCACTTCCCTTTTATGTGGGGATCTCTTCTTGAGATTTCCCCATGTACGTCACAGGTGATGATCTTCTTTGACCAATGGTGGGCGAAGTGACAAAATTATGACACAACAGTTAACGCATCTTTTACAATGAATTATTTTCGTGGGAACGGAGTTTTATGAGCGATTTTTATCAGAAAATTTTGTCGGTTGTTTTTCTCTTTTCGAGTTAACCCTAACATTTATAAAAGCATTTTGGTTTCGAAACGAAAACGGTAGATGAAAATGAATAAAAATATTCTAACCTCAGCCTTCTTAAATCCGGACCCTCATATAATTAAATTTACACGTTTCTAAAGGCTTAAATAAATATCTTTATTTAACACTTGGGAGGACTGTCGGGGTCTCTGTTTAAGTGTTAATCAAAACTACCTACCTGCAGCACACTATAGCAGACCCCTCTATAACACTGTAGATAATTCCGTTTCATATGAATTTCATGTTGCACGAGTCACTTAGAGATTACAAATACGTGTGCTGGGCTGTGAACGGCTTACATATTTGTGAAATCTAAGTGACTCGTACAACATGAAATTTATATAACACGGAATTATCTACAGTGCTATAGGGGGGGTCTACTGTACTTTATACTTACTTTCCAACACAATGTAAAAAATACACGAGTATTATAAAACCTGTAATCTTACCCCAGTTTTCATGTCATACGTATTACCTGATATCTTCCACCTAGTTCCATGAGAAAAAACAAGTTTACTCACAAAATAATTAAGTACTTATGACCATTAATATATTGATTATAACAACCAAATTTGTGATTTTATTCTACTATTGTTACATTATAAAAATAAAAAAACAGATTCTAGTACACAGAATAAGCGTTATCTTAAGTTTTTTTTAGCTTTATATCGCATGAGAGATAAAAAATTGGCAGATAATTATGAATATCTGAAAAGTTTTAAACTAAAAAATATTAGTGTCAACTGTATTTTTGTGTAATTTCACTAAGAATTCTTTACCTAACTTCCTGTAAAAATATTAGTTAAAGTAGAAGTATTAAAACATAATACTATCAAATAGATTTTTATCTATTGCAGAACGTACGACGTTGATTTCTCGTGTTATTAAATTGGTTGCTGTCAAGTAACCTTATCATATCACAGATAAATGTACTTATTTTCTGCACGCGTTGCGAAAATGCAAGTAGCATTACCTACTTTTACATTATAAATAAGATTATTTTATTAAGTACAGTTCGATTAAATTAGTTTCTTATGGCAATGAAAGGAACAATTCGAATTCCCTTGATATTGTATTGAAAAGTAATTTAATGAATTAATAAAGGTGAGTAATTTTGTGTTTCCTAATTAATAGTATTGTATTCAGGATAAATTCTTGGAAAGTAATCTTAACTTACTATTGCGAGTAGGAAGAATCGTGGTAATGGAATGAGGAAGCTCAGGAGGTTTTCTCAATCTGAAAACAGTTATTTAGAAGGTTCAACTGAATGAAAACGAAATCTGTAAATTATAATATAAAATAGCAAAAATGTAAGAAAAGAATAGGAAATTAGATTATATATATCAAAAATCAGATAGCATGGAAGGGGCAAAAGTCATATATGAAATAACTAGGTATATTACGCATGTATAAAATATCGTTTTAATAAATGGTAAAGAGAGTAATATATTATTAGTAAAAGGAATTCGCGTAAAATAAATAGATATAATTTATTTATCTTGTGAACTAATAAATAAAACTATTAAAAAGGTGGAAATGTAGGAGGAGATTCGTCGTGACCTGTGAATAATTTTAAGTAGATTAAGCTAGGAATTAAGTTGTTAAATAGTAGTATACTATATATTTTATTATTATGAAGTATATTCATTATTATATCTGTCATTATATAGATTCATATACGAGAAATTTAGCAAATTGAAGCTTTTAGTGTAGATTATCAAATCAACAGTACACAGAATTAAGATGTATCTAAGTACAGCGATACTCTTTTCACTTTTCATTTGTGTCACACTCAACACTTGGGCGATCTGCCTAAAAGAATGACTTCCCAATGGTCTTTTTAAAGGTAACTGGCCCCTATTCAGGCGTTACAGACGTGGATAAACTCAACGTGGCCAACCCTCCCTGGAGAGGAGCAAACCCACAACCGAATTCGCCACTGGTTGGCCAACATGAACCTTCTACTATTGCCAAAAATATTTACATTTAAACTTCTAATTTCATTTATATAGATGGAGAAAACGGAGAATGACTTTATTTCAACGTTACGGTATACCAGGACCGAAACCGAATTTTTCGTCGGAAATTTAAATGAATTTAACAATGGAGTAAGTACTGTCACTTGGAGATCAAAACACAGAAAAAGTAAAACATTGTTCTGTCATACTCGTACAGAGAGTGAAACAAATTGAAAAATGGTTGCAACAATACGGAAAAATAATCGGGTAATTTCTAATTTCATACATTTTATTAATATAATTTTAATTCATTAATAAAAATATTTATAACGTTCCCACCTTAGCTGTTATCTAGGTGCAATTCCTTATGACTACATAAGGAATTGCACTGATGTTGAGTTTTTAAAACTCATCCAAATAAAAGACAACCAGAAATTTTACAATAAATATGTACGTATCTAACAGAAATTGATATAAATTACAAAGTTTCACTAGTTTTGAATAATTTGTTTGAATATTTTTGCCAGTGGATCCTTCCTGATGCTGGATTTCCTCACAATTCTTCTAGAAATATGCTTTCTACAATAGCTGATCAGAAATGGAAGAATTTAAGAAATACACTAACCAGTTGTTTCAGTACAGGAAAGATTAAAATGGTAAATACAATCTTTATTCGAAATTTCAGTATACAGTTCTTTAAGAGTGCGGTAAGTTTTTTATATTTCAGATGGGTTCCCTGATGTCTCGTCCGATTAAAATCTTCTTAAAAAATATAGAGAAGCAAGGTGATCAGCGGTTCGATATTGAAAATATGTGTAAAAGATTAGTGTTTGATATAATCTGCACATCAGTTTTCGGTATAATCACAGATGTGCAAAATAATGAAACTAATACCTTTATCGAGTCTGCTCACGCTGCGTTTTCAACTGATACTTCTGATGCTTTAGTTGGAATATCAAGTGATGTTTCAATTATCTTTAACAGTGTACCTTATTGTTTAATAAGATACTAATTAATTAAGTAATAAATTTTTACGTCATTCAGTTTGTTTTCCGGAAGTGGAACCAATATGCAGTTTCCTTCGATATAAAATTGAGAACTTGAAGCATTTTCTGAATCTACCATCTTGGACCACGGTTTATGAGACATCTCAAAAAGTGATCGATGCCAGGAAAAAATTAAATGTGAGATTATTTACAGTAAATTAATTTGAAAACTTTATAAAATTTGATAGATATATTATTATTTTAGCAACGTCCACAAGATCTGCTGCAGAGAATCATAGATGCAGAAGATGAGAGTAATGGAGAAATAAAGAAACTTTCAGACCATATTGTAATTGCAAATGCAATGATGTTTATGGCAGCTGGGTATTAAAAGTTACTTAAGTTGTAAGTGTGGTACCAGAGAATTATTGTTAATGTGAAATTTTAATGATATTTGCAGATATGACACGACAAGTTCTACTTTACGATGGTGTATTTATCATCTCGCTTGTAATCCTGAAATACAACGAAAAGTCAATGAAGAAATTAAATCTAACGTTTCAGATGATGTAAACTGCAATCATTAATTCCAATTAACAATTCTACTGCTCTTGGGTTTTTGGGATCGTATGACAAAAGTCTAAAATCCTGAAGACTTTTTCATGGGAGATCTTTCCCATATATTTGGAGTCTATCCAAAAGGATTTTAATCGCATTTTTATGGGCTGCCGAATCCATCACGATATGAAAAAACACTTACTTAGTGCAGACAGGCCGCAAAATTCAAAAATGAATATATAGAAGAAGGCAAAAATTTTTCAAGGTTTTGCCTTCTGGTAAGACTTTTCTGGGAAACACTGTATTCTACAGGCCCCCATTAAGGCGTTAGATATATTTTACATTTTATAAATCCCGAAAATCCAAAGCATTATCAATATCTTCAAGTATTCAGATGCACCAGATCTGTAATCTTGCTTTAACGCCGATAAAAAATATTAATTTTTCTTATAAATTTAAACTATAAAAACATTTTTCATAAATATATTTACTGAAAAATCTAAAATTTGTAATAAATTTAATGTCAGTCTTCTTAAACTTAATTAGGTAGATGTGCAGTATACGGACTTAGGCAGTTTTCAGTTATTAAATCAAGTTATCTCAGAAACACTTCGCCTTCACCCATTGACTTCAGTGTAAGTTGTCTTCTTACTTTTTATACAACTTTACTGAATTAAACATTAAATGTTATGCATACAATTTACTTATAACAGCGTAGTGAATAGATTATGCTCAGACAATTATTTTTATAAAGACATCACCATTCCTAAAGGTAGTGTTATAATGGTTCCAGTACAAATGCTGCAAAACGATCCAGCTTATTGGAGTGAACCTAATAAATTCAATCCCTACAGGTTACAGATTAATTACGCTTACAAGTATATTAAAAAAAAACTGATTCCATCATTTACCAACCATTCGGTGCTGGACACAGAATATGTATAGGTCAAAAATTAGCAATAACAATACTACTAACTAAGCTCTACCGCCACTAATCGGCTGGTAAACAGACTCCTTACGCCGTTTCACTCACTGCCTTAGTGACTAAAGATTAATCTTACGTAATAATAATCATCGACACCCTAAACCCGCTATAATACACCGTACTGTACGTGCCAATGGGNACGGCAAAAAATTGATTCCATCATTTACCAACCATTCGGTGCAGGGCACAGAATATGTATAGGTCAAAGGTTAGCAATAACAATACTAAGATTGGTGCTGGCAAACCTTCTTCGATCATTCAAGTTAGAGATATATAAAGATAAAGTAAGTTATACATATCGTTTCCTTTTATGTAATTATAATGTAGGCAAAACAACTGAAATCTTTTCTATAGTATCGTTGCTGGTTTACCAATGAATCCAGATTCAATAAATGTATCCATAAATTATTATGTAAAATTATAAATACATTCGAGAAAATTATTTGTAACAGATTATCTAAGTTGTATTTTCTAACTGTATTCATTTCTTACAGGAAGTCGAAATAGTGTCTTCATTTTTCATAAATTCTCCTAAGGGTGGAACTATCATCAAGGCAACTCCATTACAAGTTTGATCAATTCTAGCTTTCTATTAATGTAATGAGAATCATAAATAAAATTATAATTGTAGACAATTGTATGAAATTGAAATATCTGTACATAGAAATTATTTTATTTTCAACTGCAAAATAATTTAAAGTCTGAAATGTTATTGGAATACCCTGACATTTAATTTGAATAAATAGATTTCGTGATTTGCATAATTATTTATAATAAATGAAGGATTAAATTCTATAATACGAAGTGTCCTAAAAGTTTCGAATTAATGGCATTCACAGAAAACTTGCTTTGCTGCATATTCTATGTTCATACACGTTTGCAATATGATTCTACGTGTTCTTCTTGAAGGTCTTCAGTTTTTGAGTCTTTGTATGACATTCTAATGAGTCTTACTAGCACATTGAAATAGTTAGCTACTTATCTACAATCTATTAAGTTCCACAATAAATATAAGCAGAATGTTTAAAGTGAAACTTGAAATACCCTAAGAGGTTTTCATAGTTCTGAAAATAAAAATTGAATTTATGATTGCCTTTGAAGCAATGAAGCGATGAAATTAATCTGCAAATTGATATTATATTTGAAATATTGACAAAACTCTGATATATTATCTCAATTTAATTTCATAAAACGAGGCAAAAGACAAACGAAACATAATATTATAATGTCAATACTAGTGAGTATAGCCATATTTACTATCGTAAGATAGCTGTGGCAAATGTAAACAATTTGAAAAGTTGGTCTTTATCTACATAAATATTTAAAATTTACATATTAACTACTTTTCATACAGATTAAAAACAAATAAATAAAAATACAAATACACAAACGAAGATCCACAACTTGTAATAACAAAATAGCTCAGAACTCAAAGAGGTGATTAAGGGGCCACGAGGAAGCCGCATAATTTTAAATGTGATTACGTTTACGACAGATTGTAATGCTAACGTATGCTGGTAATGATCAGTTTATTATTTAGTTTAATATTAGATTAAAAAATCTGCGAGTCATAAGGTTTTTAATCTAATATTAAATATCTAACAGATATGTCGTCGGCTACGACAGATAAATCGAAGTGATTGCGACAGAATGTAGTGTTGTAACAAGCTTCAAATCAGCGAGTATAGAAGTGAGAGAATACAGAATGTAGTTGAGGTAAGTACAATGTAAGTATTTTAACTAGAATTAAAGTATATTCTCGGTAATTCGGCCGTTCGCATCCAGTAATCCGACACAAATAACTTTCGGTTGTTTTCGGCAGATTTGCCAAGTCACAGGCAAGATTTTTACTAGTTCAAACCGTAATTTTTTATGTTAGTAACATATCTTAATTACACATCTTATGGTTACATATTATTCCTTACATATAATAACAGTATTAAAAATAAGTTATATATAAAGGTTTTCATTACTAAAGTAAAAGATGAACAATCATTTTTAACAAAATTTATTGTGTTTTCTAGTAGATGGAATTAGTAAACAGATTAGTTGATTCACCTTACTAAAGGTCAAGTACATATACTTGATCAGGAAGGATTGAACATCTAAATTATAGATAGATATGTTTATTTTCAATATAAGTTTATTTCATTATTACATTAGACGCTATCATGAAACATGCGCTTTTTAACAATGAATACAAGTGAGAAACAATTTATTAAATAGAAGGTGTGTATAAGATTTTGTTACTAATCTTGAAACGTGAGAATGATGTACACATAAACTGCTAACAAAAAAAATAAGTTTATAAAGAGAATTGGCAGGGAATAATCTTTATTTTTAAAAGTCGAAGTCAATTTTATGGACTGAACTTATGTTTTTTTATATATTGAAAAACTTTTGTCCTTTAACAAGCAAAGTATACGTGTTAATTTACTTCTCTGCCTTTTGTCGAAAATTTCTGATATTTTGCAGGAAAGTTTGTATGTTAAGAAGATTGTTTCTGTTAAATTTTGGTGTTTAAAAATCGACGGGTTGGAGAGATAAAAAAGACTGTGTTTATTTAGTGTATTGTCTTAATGAAGATTTCACTCATTATTAACACTTAAAATTTTTTTAATAATATTTATATTTATTCTAAAAATTAAGCTTTCTGTCATTCTATAAAGGTAGTGTTATAATGGTTCCAGTACAAGTGCTGCAAAACGATCCAGCTTATTGGAGTGAACCTGACAAGTTTATTCCTTACAGGTGATATGCTAGTAATAACTAAATTACGTTTACATCTATGTTATTAACGGAATTAGTGGATATTGTGTGTTTTCAGATTTTCGTCTGAGGAACGAAGAGAAATTGACTCGATCATATACCAACCATTTGGAGCAGGGCATAGAATATGTATTGGACAGAGGCTAGCAAAAACAGTAATAAAATTAGTNTGGAGAGATAAAAAAGACTGTGTTTATTTAGTGTATTGTCTTAATGAAGATTTCACTCATTATTAACACTTAAAATTTTTTTAATAATATTTATATTTATTCTAAAAATTAAGCTTTCTGTCATTCTATAATAAGCAAAAATATAAAATGTTTTTTAAAAAAGATATGATATCAGACGGGGACATCAAAAATTGTCGAGAAAATTAAGCGATTCGTTGCTGGATATTTTAGAATTACACAATTAAACATGTAGAAGAAAATTTCAATTTGAAAATTTTTATTTTATAATTAATTCATATGATAGGAGAAATAAAGGAAAAAAGAAATTGTTGTATTTTATACATTATTTATTATAAGTGAAAAATATTATAATTGCGGTATAGTGTACAGCTATTGCAGACAAGAAGCCCGTCAATATGCCTATTTACACTTTCACCAACCGTTACGACCTCCAACTAATAGTGGATCCAGAAATCTTTAGAATAAGGCAATATAGAAATTTATTTTTCTATTTTTATACATTTACAGATGCAACAGTCATCGTATTGCTTATCGTAAGGATTTCAGACTTGTACATACTTTCATACAGGCTTGGATTGTATTAAATTTGGAAGAATAAAATCAACAATACATTTAAGTATAATGTACATAATTACAACGATACTCGTTTCTGTTTTAGTGTTCATCATTTTATTATGGATAAGGTGAGTTAGGTTATTAATAACTATTTTTAATTAAAATTATTTAATTTCATTATTAAAGGAAAATGTTTCAATCCAGTACACGCCTGTAATTAATATTAACAGAAACGTTTTCGTTACTTCATATCTTTCGCCTGCCTTTTTTTGTACCGATAAAAAATTAGTACCGTACTTTTGTACTTATTATTTTGGGGATTCTCTCTAATATCTTGTTTTGCAATCAGATATAAAAAATTTTCAAAATTAAAACAACTTCACACAGTCATATAACGTAGATATGAACTAATTTTGCTCACGAACGTTGGTTTGCTTGGAAATTTCAAATATTTTTTATTTTATTACAGTTATACTATGCAAGAAAGCTATGCATTACGTATTAATATATACACTGTATTTTTAATATATTTTACACGGAATATGTTCAGATAAAATCCTACAAATACAAAATTATTACAGGAAAATTTTACGCAGACAATTCTAAACAAAATTAAATCATACAGGACTCGGTCTTTGTAAAGTTAATAGGATAAGTTAAAACCTATAGAAATGAAATTTTCTTTTTGATAAGCAGAGATATACATTACTATAAAACAGATTTCGTTGGTAGTAATAGTGTTAAAATATCTATTGCATTCTGTGTTTTGAATTGAAATTTACGTGTTCAGTATGTATAATACTATATTGCTAATGAGGATAAACGCTGTTTCTTTCGTACTCGTATAATATTATTAGTGATACAAATTAATAAATTATTAAATTAGTTTATTACTTTTGTATCTGTTATATATAACATAGAGAAAGTATGGTTAAAGAAGAAAAATAATCACCCAAAATTGTATGTATGTGTTACTCCAGTGGAAACTTATTTAATGAGGATTTTAAGTAAAGACAGTATAAATAAAAACTTAAGTCTTAAAATTAACGAAAACTGGATTCATATTTTAAAAATAATTTTTTCTCCCCTGTGAAAAGCAATTTCTCCTAGAAATAATTTTTCCAAGACAGATTTTGGTAAAAATCAAACCACAAGGTGGCGAACGTCACACTAGGTAACACTTGAGATACTAGCGCATAAGAAAAAGAAAAAGGGGGTGGAAGGTAAAAGGGTGGGGGCGGAAACAGCTTAAAAGTTTTTACAGTTGTGTTGTATCAAAATATGCCTAAAAGAAAAGATTTTAGAAGATTTTAATCTTTTAATTTGTAATATATACTAGTTTATTTACAAAAGATTACAGCAGATTTTATATGTTTTTAAATTATACAAATGTAACCAAAAGGTACTTCTATATATCGTTTATGTACTCATTGTTTTATGTAAATTCCCTACTGTAATAAGTTAAAATATATATATTGTATTTTAGTTGACTGAAGAGGGCCAAAGCCCGAAACGAATACAAAACAATGTACCGTATCCACTCAACTAATAAAGGAATTTGATGGAAAATTTGCCATGTGTCTTTGGAATAAAACACAATACTACTGTATATTACGCCACAGAATTTAATCGTTTTTCACATTTACGATTTATTTGTAAAACCTATTCTTATCCTCAAAATGAAGTTATTTACATTTTATAATAATAAATAGTATAATAATTTCTTTAAATAAAACTATTACGCGAAGTTTTACATTTAGCTGGGAAAGTTAAGCAACTCGTTAAAATACAGTGGTGCTTTGTATAACTTGCGCCTCGAATAACGGACGCTGCGAATAACGGACTTTCCGTTCGGCAGTTACGTGAGACGAACAATGGACTTTCTTCGAACAAGTGCGAATGATGTTTCTACTCTTTTGCCGTTGCCAATGACAACCTGCTATTTTTAGGATATATTAGTATTATTAGAATGTATTATTAGTATATCTGAAGTAGAAATGTAATGTAATATATGTTGATGATTTAAATAAACATTAAATGTAATGTAATACAGTATATGTTGACGATTCAAATAAACGAAATGTAATTGTGTAGATGCCGAGGTGGCGGGACGAAAAGAGGTTGTAAAAAACAAACGGAGCGAGAGTAGCTCGTAGAAGTGTTTAGTGATCTTAATTAATAAAGAATTATTCGTATCATATAATCTGGCAAGTTAAGTCATTTATAATGCATCATGGCTTCTAAAAAAACAGAAAAGTGATTTCAATTGAAACAAAGCAAAAAAATCATCAAGAGTGAAAGTTGACAAAATCTTTTTTGTCGAATGGGCTGAGGTTCAGGAGTTTACCAACACTCATTATCCAAACAGAGCTGAGGCCAACAGGATCAATGATCTCTACAATGACACCCTTGCCCGTCATTTCCGACAGGTGTTAAAGAAGAAAGAGAAACAGACCACCTTGGACATGTTATTCAAGAAGCCAGCGGGCAAAAAACAAAGGCTGGAACAAAAGAAGTTGACCCTGCAAGTTCTGGTAGCCTCTCCTGAATCTGACTCCGATTAAAAAAACAATAAAAAAGACCCGCTGCAATGTGTAAAAAGTCTGTATCTGTATGAATGTGTAAAGAAAGTGTTTTTTCACCTCCTCCTCACATCTGACTACCCGGCATAATTGGTGTCTGCTCCATTTTCATTTTTTATGGTACAGTACGGTTATGCTGCGAAACGAATTATATGTTTCAACATGTATTTCTATGGGAAAATGCGTTTCGTATAACGGACGTTTCACTTAACGGACGTGCACCTGGAACGGATTAAGTACGTTGTACGAGGCACCACTGTATTTTGAAAATTCAATAAGTAATCACTGAAATGGAAAATTTCTTAAATTTTATTTTTAATATTAGAGAAGAAATCCATAAAAATATATTCTAAAATTAAACTAATCTAAAACGTAATTTATTCAAATGTAGAAAACAAAGGATGACTTTGTTTAGACGTTACGGGATTCCAGGCCCAAAACCAAATTTCTTCTACGGAAATTTAATTGAATTCAATAAAGGGGTAAGTACATTCAGTCTGAGATAAACTAATAAAAAAGAATTTATAAATTAATTCTCATCTGTTCGTGAATAGAGGGACAAATGCATAGAAAAATGGATACGGCAATATGGAAAAATGTTTGGGTAATAAATTTGTTTCCATTTGTAAACTGTAATAAATTCAATAAGTAATAGATTGTTTACCTAATTTGAACATAATATAAATTATAACTTAAACAATTGATTCAAAGTATGAAAGTATGTTTAGTTTTTATCTAGGTGCAAAACCTTACTTAGTATGCAGCGACGTCGAATTTTTGAAACTCTCCCTTATAAAGGACAGTTACAATTTTTACAACAAAGATGTAGGTGTTACGCACTAATGATAAGTAGCTTAAATTCTGAGAAGCCTAAAATTTATTTATGTATTTATTTTTTTCTGCTAAAGTGGGTGCTGCCTGATGCTGGAATTCCTCACGATGCATCAAAATATATGCTTGGAATATTACTTGATCAAAAATGGAAAAATCTGAGAACTATTTTTAGTACTTGTTTTACTACAGGGAAAATTAAAATGGTGTTAAATTATTACTTGAGATTTTTAAACATATATCTTTTGGAATTACATAACATTTTATATTTTAGATGAGTACTCTAATGTCTTCACCGATAAAAGTCTTTCTAACAAACGTAGAGAAGCAAAAAAACCAACCGTTTGATATTTCAAAGTTGTGTAAAAAATTGGTGTTTGATATCGTCTGTACATCAGCTTTTGGTGTAACTACAAATGTTCAAAATAATGAAACAAGTAAATTTGTTGAATCGGCTCACGCTGCATTTTCAGCTGATTCTGCTGATATTTTAGCTGCAATAACAAGTGATTTTGCAATTTATTTTCATTTAATTTATTATTATGGCTAAAACATAATGTAATAATGCCTGATTATGTTTCGTTTTCTATGTAATTCAGTTTGCTTTCCGGAAATAGAGCCAGTATGTACGTTTCTTCGATACAAAATAGATAGTTTAAAGTATATGCTGAATCTACCTTCTTTGACATACATTTATGAAATGTGTGAAAAAATCGTGAATTCCAGAAAGAAATTAGATGTGAGGAGCTTGTCAGTATGTAAATACGAATAAATTGCAACATAATTGAGAGTATAATTTTTATTTTAGTCTCCTCCACCAGATCTGCTGCAGACAATGATAGATGCAAAAGATGAAACTATTATAGAAATGAAAAAACTTCCAGATAGATTTGTGATTGCAAATGCAATAATGTTCATGGCTGCTGCGTAAGAACTTCAACAGATTTGTTTATATTTTACATAAAATAAAAAAAAATTATTTATGATGAAATAAAATGTATGATAATTTTGGCAGAAATGATTCAACAAGTGCTACAATAGGATGGTGTATTAATCATCTTGCTAGTAATCTTGAAATACAAGAGAAAGTCCGTGAAGAAATAAAAAGCAACGTTTCTGAAGATGTAAAATTTTACTTTTCATTTAAAACATAGATATATTTAGTTGAAACAAAAACATCTGAAATGATTTTTTAAAACACACGTATATATATTAAATTATAATACACAACAAATATAGTAGTTATGTTAATTTACAGATGGATATCCAGTATTCTGACTTGTCCAATTTTCAGCTGCTCGATCACGTTATCTCAGAAACACTACGCTTCTGGCCTTTCTCTTTACTGTAAGTTTCTGTGTAAGCTTACCTTAAATGTTAAACGTAATAAGTTTATGATAATATATTTTTTTACATAGAGCAGTCAATAGAATATGTTCAGAAGATTACTCTTATAAAGGTATAACCATTCCTAAAGGAAGTATTATAACGGTTCCAGTACAAGTGCTGCAAAGTGATCCAGCTTATTGGAGTGAACCTGACAAGTTTAATCCTTACAGGTGATATGCTAGTAATAACTAAATTACGTTTACATCTATGTTATTAGCGGAATTATTGGATATTGTGTGTTTTCAGATTTTCGTCTGAGGAACGAAGAGAAATTGACTCGATCATATACCAACCTTTCGGAGCAGGGCATAGAATATGTATTGGACAGAGGCTAGCAAAAACAATAATAAAATTAGTGTTGGCAAATCTCCTGAGATCATTCAAATTAGAAAAGTATGGAGATGATAATGTAAGTGATAAAATATTTCATTATTAAAGCAACTAAAATTTTTCGAACGTTTAGACAGAATAAATTCAGTTTCTAAGGATTAGCCACATTATTCAAAAATAAAGAGATATTAAATTGCTTATATTCGAGAAATTCAGCTGCAATTTGTAGTAAAACTTGTATTGTTTAGTTTACTATTGTTAACTTGTACATATTTGTTTTTCTTGCAGGACGAAATGGTGTATACCATATTTATGAGTCTTCCTAAAAATGGAATAATGATTAAAACAACCTCATTAACTACGTAACTTTTTATAGTGTTTAATGTTTACGATACAAAACAGTAATAAACAAATTGTATAGATTTGTTCACAATTTTAAGTGTTTGAGTAGACTTCTATCTATATATATCAATAAGATGATAGTAGTATTTAGTGTCGGTGTTGTATACGTAATACATATATAATGTATTACAGGAGGTATTAATTTTTGTGTTTCTCATTACATGTAAAGAAGGTTTAGATATTATATTTCGTATGAAAAGAGTCGAGGATAAGAGTATTAAAATAACTTATCCCTTATAGTACAGTATTTACAAATTATAAAAGTTAGATTGGGGGAAGCGCAGAGGAATCGCGACATTAAAAAAATGTGAGAATTCCGGCTCTGTTCTTAAACTTGTAATTACCAACGTAAACAATTTTCTGACTTGTGAACAAACTCTACCAAATTTTAGAAATTATCGAATAAAAGGAGTAACATTGGTTTGATATGAATTATTTTTTAAATAATATAAAAACATGTAGTAAAATAAATTGAAGGATTGTGTCTTGTTCAGGCTCGAGCAGAGAAGTTTTCAAATGTATAATTTTTTACAATATAGATACAGTAAGCAGGAACTGAACTTATACAAAATAGATATAAGTTATACGCAACATACTGTTTAATTTTAATTTTAGATAAACTCTTTATTCCTCAAAAACTGAAAGATTCAAACACTCAAAGCTTATCACTAATTAATATCGGTTTAATTAGTGTTTTGTAGGGATTTTCGCGTTTTTAATGAAATATATGCATAGATCCGGAACGTTAATTTTAAAAAAATTCGGGAGTTCGGAGTAACGAGATTGTCTGAGTGATTGTCCTTTTAATATTGCATTCAATAAGTCCGAAATTTGGTGATATGGAGTTGGAATGTAACTAAGAATAGAGGAATCTCAATAATTTCTATATAACTACACCGGTTATAATTTTCAATACGCTCTTGTTAGAAAAACAATAAAAATTATAAAACCTATGCCTTGTTAATTGTTAATCCGGATGCATATCTTAAAATGTATTGCAGGTACCGTTGCTAGCACCGAATTTCCTCGAACTATCGGGGTTCGCAACGTAAGTAGATCACCTTTTACATGAGATTCCGCATTCGAAACTGCGTTATTAGCTTAGAATAATAATTCTACATTGTTCCGGAAAGGATTATGTCATTACCTCCCTTTTCCTTAGGCTCAACATCCCTGCATAGCAAACACTAATTTATAAACTTCATAGCGTGCAGCAATTTACGCTCACTCTTAAACAGCCCGTCATCTTTTTGTTACTTTGCGCGCATGCTCTCTTAGTCATTGCCCATATCACAAACAATACGGCAATTATAAGATACCATTGAAAAAAGTACAGAAACACCTGACTTTCATAAAAATTGAATTATCACTGCAAGACGTATAGCAAATTTTTAGTGCATAGCTACATTTCATTTACTTGTAAATAACGAGGGTATAGAAATGTACGGGAAATATGTTCTAGGGTACCTTTGAAGTGTTTCAATTATCGCTATTTTTTTCAAACAATCGTCAGCTTTCTAACTGTTTCTATAGCATAGTGGAAAAGATTAGCAAATGTCATCTAATATTGATTTAAAGTTTTCTTCTGCTCCAATATGAGGTTTAAATGACACTTTCTCCAGATATTGAAACTACATACTTTATATTAAACCATAAACCAATGAACACCAGTCACGGGTTCGCTCTTCTCTAACTGGTTACGTAGTGTTTTTCGGATTTTCCTCACGTAAACATAACACATGAATTGAAAGCAGTTTCTCAAAGAAAGTCTCTTCTTGAGAAACTCACCTCAGCAAATACAAACAAACTTAAAATAATTACTAACAATTATTTGTATAGATCGTATAAACTTATAATTTAATATTAAACAATAAACCGATATGATTAACACGACAGAATGTTATGCTATTGTATAAAAATCGTGATTATTTTATTGTCCATTTAATATTAGATTAAAATATCTACGACTCATTGATTTTTTAATCTAATATTAAATAGACAATAGATACCGTGTTTCCCCGAAAATAAGACAGTGTCTTATATTAATTTTTGCTCTCAAAGATGCGCTAGGTCTTATTTTTCCATAAAGAAGATTTCACATTTATTATTGAACAAAAAAATCCCCAACTCGAACTTACACGAGAGTGACGTATATCCGGTTGTGTCGAACAGAACTAAAATAAAACCGAAGTCAACTTACTACGTTTCCGTGCTGGAGTGGACTTCCCACTCTCGCTTCAACTTAACCTTTTCATAACGTCGACATCCGGCTCGATGAAGAATTAGTGCTTACTGAACCGTCGCACTATGGAAATGTGATGTGGCGTGATTTCCGGCCGTCCAATTACCCATCACCAGCCGTAACGTTATGCAAATCTATGACTCCCAAGCCATAGTCTTATGCAAATTATGCCGTGTGGAGTGATTGTCTGCTGGCCAATCAGTGGCTGTACTTTCAAAAAGCCAACGGCTACTTTCAACCGTCTGTCAATGACCGTTACGAGTAAAAAGCACTTTGCTAGGTCTTACTTTCGGGGGAGGCCTTATATTTAGCAATTGAGCAAAACCTCTGCTAAGTCTTATTTTCAAAGGATGTCTTATTTTCGGGGGAAACACGGTATGTAGTAGGCTATGACATAAATCGAAATGATTGCGACAGAATGTAGTGCAGTGACTGACCAATCATCAGCGAGTGTAGAAGTGAGTTAAGATAGAATGTGGTCAAAGGTAAGTAGAATAGAAGTATATTAACTAGAATTAAAGTATAGTCTCGGTAGTTCGGCCGTTCGCATCCAGTAAACCAACACAAGTCACTTTTGGGTATTTTCGGCACGTTTGCTAAGTCACAGGCAAGATTTACACTAGTTCAAACGGTAATTCTTAAGGTTAGTGACACATCTTATGGTTATATATTATATCTTACTTATAATAACTATATAACAAATAAGTTATATACGGAAGTTTTTGTTTTGTTTTTTTTTATAGAAAAAAGTTAATTAACTATATTTTACCAATACGATTTTATCAAATAGATTTTACTCTATCTCTAAGACAGAGTAATACATAATAGCATGTAGGCTTTTACAAATAAAAGTACAGTAGAACCTCGATTATCCGGACTAATTGGGGATGAAGGTAGTCCGGATAAGGAAAAATCCGGATAATCGAAACAAATACTTTAATTTGTCTTTTAATGATAATACAACACGTTTTCTTTACGATGACATATCGGTAATATTAAAAGTAAATACTGTATTTAAATCGTGATCAAATTTTCAAGAAACAAACGTTCGTATTGAATTTGGACTACTACTGACCAACGCTAATAGACTACCTATTGTTTAAAAGACCCTCTGGTGGCACAAGAAGACGGATTTTATAAAATAAAAAGTAGTTGAAACTGCATTTTTATGAATAAAAATTTGACAAACTATTTATCGTTTTATGAATGGTAAAATTTTTTCGTCGCGTTCACGGCTTTTAAGTAATGCATAAACCTTCGAGGCGCGAGGCCCTTCGGACCTCGAGGCATAGGCGGTGGCCCACGTCGTCCATGCCTTACGCCATCCTTGGTCATAGAAATGATGTAATTTGAATATAAATTATTTATAAATACGTATGTCAAGTTATATTTTTATTACTACGTAAAATATATTTAAGAGTTTACGACCACTGTGCCGGGTGAGCCGTTGTTGAAACAAAAAAAGTTATGCATCCCATCACGTACATAAACAGTGTCGTGATTCGCCAAGTGCAAATCAGCAAATTCGTAAAATTTTTGTTTATTTTGAACAATCCGGATAATCGAAAATCCGGATAATGGAGGTTCTACTGTATTTGATGAGAAAGATACATAGAGCAGTTGGGTATAGATGAAGATTGGACGAAAAGTGCTTACCAATACCCATTGTAAAAGATGTGTTATTATAGAATACGTACCGAACACCTCGAAATTCGATACAGTATTCACAACATCGTGGCAGGCTCGTCAACCATACTTTTTTTAGAATTTGTATACGTATTTAACTTTAGACACTTGCGGAGCAGTTTACGTGAGTGTAAGACAGTACTCTATCATATAGCAAACAGCGTAATGTTTGGTCATTTACAATGAAATTAGTTACATGATTTCTGAGGATTTCATTTTTTATTTGTATTTGTTCTTATTTTTGGAAAGTTTAGTAAATTTTGAATGACTTTTCGCACAAAAATTGGATATTTTTATAGTTTATGTAACTGAGGAATCAACGTATTTTAATCCACAAACTGGAGAAAATATTTTAGCAATAATGATGAACATAAAGCTTAAAATTTTCCGACAAAATTATATAAAAAAGTTTCAGTTATACATGGGCAGTTTCAACATATATGATGCACAAATAATGGTGTTATTCATACTTTACATATTATCACAAAAGCACGAAACTGTAACTTGTTTTTCTTATGCGTCATGGGTTTCTTTCTAAAAACATTTTCATTACGAAATTGTAAATGTTTTGTTAAATTAAAAGGTTAAATCCTAACCTAATGTAATTGTAAATGACGTCGCAATCAATACATATTTTTATTTTGCTGTCTTGAAAATTCATTTGGATTTTTGGTGGACGTTCTCAGAACTCAATGAGGGGCCACAAGGAAGCCCATAATTTTCAATGTGATTACGTTTACGACAGATTGTAATGCTACCGTATTATGGTGTGAGAGGCGAACAACCTGTAATTAGAAATTTAATTGAAATAGTAAAATTTTAGACAAAAATATTCTATGATTTTGGTGGGAAAATTATATTTTGTAAAACGAAGGAATCTGGTAAAAGTCACTTTTTTCAACGGAAGTTGAACATACCGTTACGAGTAAAAAGCACTTTGCTAGGTCTTACTTTCGGGGGAGGCCTTATATTTAGCAATTGAGCAAAACCTCTGCTAAGTCTTATTTTCAAAGGATGTCTTATTTTCGGGGGAAACACGGTATGTAGTAGGCTATGACATAAATCGAAATGATTGCGACAGAATGTAGTGCAGTGACTGACCAATCATCAGCGAGTGTAGAAGTGAGTTAAGATAGAATGTGGTCAAAGGTAAGTAGAATAGAAGTATATTAACTAGAATTAAAGTATAGTCTCGGTAGTTCGGCCGTTCGCATCCAGTAAACCAACACAAGTCACTTTTGGGTATTTTCGGCACGTTTGCTAAGTCACAGGCAAGATTTACACTAGTTCAAACGGTAATTCTTAAGGTTAGTGACACATCTTATGGTTATATATTATATCTTACTTATAATAACTATCAGATTTTCGTCTGAGGAACGAAGAGAAATTGACTCGATCATATACCAACCATTTGGAGCAGGGCATAGAATATGTATTGGACAGAGGCTAGCAAAAACAGTAATAAAATTAGTGTTGGCAAATATCCTGAGATCATTCAAATTAGAAAAATATGGAGATGATGTAAGTAATAAAATATTACATTATTAAAGCAACTGAAATTTTTCGAACGTTTAGACAGAATAAATTCAGTTTCTAAGGATTAGCCACATTATTCAATAATAAAGAAATATTAAATTGCTTATATTCGAGAAATTCAGTTGCTATTCATAGTAAAACTTGTATTGTTTAGTTTACTATTGTTAACTTGTACATATTTATTATTCTTGCAGGATGAAATGGTGTATACCCTATTTTTGAGTCATCCTAAAAATGGAATAATGATTAAAACAACTCCATTAGCTTCGTGATTTATTATAATCTTTTATTTTTACGCTTAAAAAAGAAATAAAGATAAAGTTTATAAATTTGTTTACGATTTAAATGTTTGTTTAAGCTTGTATTTGTATATTTCAATAAGATTATATTATTTCTTATAATAAAAATATTGCAATAGTCCCAATTTATCGTCGTCTTTGAATAACTTTATTATTTTATATTAACATAATCCTAAGTACAGTCTTGTAATTTAAATGTGAATAGCAACGAAGATAAAACTAAATTATTTAGTACAGTGTAGTATTTTTCTCTTGCTGTCCGATCTAGGCACACTTAAAAGAACATTTTAGGAAACCCCATTATTCGTGTGGTAAGTGGCATATCCTAACGATCCACTCTCCGTAAGAATTTCTATGTTCTTTCCTTTCGGTTTTTCTTTATATAATTTTTTTTCGTTTGCCTTCTAGACCCTTTTTTCCTCCATCGCAAGTTCGTGAAGCCTGTAATAATGCAGATTTATGTTGAAGAAACCGACATATGTGCGATAGACCACAATCAGACCCATCTCGTTTTTTAACTTCCCAGTATCTAACCAGTTTCCAGCAGAAAAGTATATTTATTCCTTATTTGGCAATACATTAATCAATTCCGATAATAATATTAGAATTTTAATTCCAGTAAGAGTATTAACAGCCGTGACAATATCAGATAAAACTTAGTTATAAAGGCTGAAAGCACTCTTTGAAACTTAATAATATGGATAAATCGGTGTTCTCGAGTAATTCTTCGATATTATTACTAATTCTTATTTCAGGTTTTTGATATGCCGATAGCAATTCGTAAGCGACCAGAGTCGTTTCGCCATTAGATTGTTTTTCCTATTACTTTTTTAATTAATCTTTTTGCCATAGACAATAACGGCGCCAGTAGAAGTAGAATTCCACCAGATTGATTAACCAAATTTTTTTTTTAACTTGATAGGGAGCAGTTTCTTCTAATATTGCTCTTCGTTGAAGCGGAGTATTCTCAGCTAAAATCGCCAACATATGAAAATTTTTCTTTACGTTCTTCATTTTATCGGTAATTACAGTCGTCCCCCCTATAACACTGTTGATTATTCCGTTTTATATGAATTCCATGTTGTACGGGTTACTTAAATTTTACAAATACGTGTGTCGGGCTGTGAACGGCTCACGTATCCAAAAAATACCTCGTTCATTTGGAAAACACGAATCCTTCACTAAAAGTCTCTTGTTTGTTTTAGGATGAAAATCCAATAACAAATAAACAAATTCCTTTTCTATAGCTTTTTTATACGCATCCATAAAAACGATTACATTTGCCTGCAAAAGCTTGGCACCCGAAACAACTTATTTGACTTTCATCACGATTATTTTTAATTCTTCCATTCTCATCAACAATTACATAACCGAATTTTTATCTTCTTTTCATATTTCTCCGTTAACTTTATAAAGTAACGCAAACTAATAGGAAAATTATCGGGAATATCGAAAGGAAAATTATTTACCGCAGCAATATAGCTATCCAGAGACTTGTACAAACGAGGGAAAACAGAATAATATCTGTCGCTGAACATTTTTACTTATTGTTTTAGGAATTTCTGTCTAATTTCAACTTTTGGTTGCAAACCGTGTACAAGATACAGCCACTTTTTTAAAACTGTAATTAATTTGACATAGCTTATACACTAGACACCGCTATATCATATTTTGAAAACAAACGTTGGTTTGCTTGAAAATTTCGAATATTTGATTATATTACACTCATACTACGAAATGAAAAATATGCGTTATTTATCGTAAAATTCTATAAACAAGTAGTCATCTTCAGCAAAATAAGGAAACTGAACATATTTATAGAATTTTTAATGAAATAATTATCGAAATAAAGTAATAGAACAATGGCTAAGCAATAATAATTAAAAAAACANCCATGCCTTACGCCGCCCTTGGTCATAGAAATGATGTAATTTGAATATAAATTATTTATAAATACGTATGTCAAGTTATATTTTTATTACTACGTAAAATATATTTAAGAGTTTACGACCACTGTGCCGGGTGAGCCGTTGTTGAAACAAAAAAAGTTATGCATCCCATCACGTACATAAACAGTGTCGTGATTCGCCAAGTGCAAATCAGCAAATTCGTAAAATTTTTGTTTATTTTGAACAATCCGGATAATCGAAAATCCGGATAATGGAGGTTCTACTGTATTTGATGAGAAAGATACATAGAGCAGTTGGGTATAGATGAAGATTGGACGAAAAGTGCTTACCAATACCCATTGTAAAAGATGTGTTATTATAGAATACGTACCGAACACCTCGAAATTCGATACAGTATTCACAACATCGTGGCAGGCTCGTCAACCATACTTTTTTTAGAATTTGTATACGTATTTAACTTTAGACACTTGCGGAGCAGTTTACGTGAGTGTAAGACAGTACTCTATCATATAGCAAACAGCGTAATGTTTGGTCATTTACAATGAAATTAGTTACATGATTTCTGAGGATTTCATTTTTTATTTGTATTTGTTCTTATTTTTGGAAAGTTTAGTAAATTTTGAATGACTTTTCGCACAAAAATTGGATATTTTTATAGTTTATGTAACTGAGGAATCAACGTATTTTAATCCACAAACTGGAGAAAATATTTTAGCAATAATGATGAACATAAAGCTTAAAATTTTCCGACAAAATTATATAAAAAAGTTTCAGTTATACATGGGCAGTTTCAACATATATGATGCACAAATAATGGTGTTATTCATACTTTACATATTATCACAAAAGCACGAAACTGTAACTTGTTTTTCTTATGCGTCATGGGTTTCTTTCTAAAAACATTTTCATTACGAAATTGTAAATGTTTTGTTAAATTAAAAGGTTAAATCCTAACCTAATGTAATTGTAAATGACGTCGCAATCAATACATATTTTTATTTTGCTGTCTTGAAAACTCATTTGGATTTTTGGTGGACTTTCTCAGAACTCAATGAGGGGCCACAAGGAAGCCCATAATTTTCAATGTGATTACGTTTACGACAGATTGTAATGCTACCGTATTATGGTGTGAGAGGCGAACAACCTGTAATTAGAAATTTAATTGAAATAGTAAAATTTTAGACAAAATTATTCTATGATTTTGGTGGGAAAATTATACTTTGTAAAACGAAGGAATCTGGTAAAAGTCACTTTTTTCAACGGAAGTTGAACATCCTTTTTGGTTTCTCTTATCTTTTAAAATTTTAGTTACCTTGGAAACTGGCAACTCCTCAGTAAAATTCCTTTTCTCCTGTTCACGTGGAAAATTACGAGATGCTGATTGGTGAAAATTTGTTAGAAACAGAAAGAATTTTGTATCATTCGGGGAGTACGCCAGAAGACCCAAAAGCGGACAGACGTATTCCACATCATCTCCATAAGCCAACGCCCATAACCGATTCCCGAAGTCTTCTAAATGAATTATTAAGTCGGTAAATACATTGAAGTAAATGTTTATTAATGTGCTAATGAAGAATTGATAAAGAGAAGAACATTTCTCCAGAACCAAAGATACAAGAAGACGAATATAGAAATGTCTGAGGTAGTATGATTTTTGTTCGAAATTGTGAGCTTTCTCTCTCGAAATAGCTTTATACGAAGATTCAATTTTGTATAATTTTGTTTATTTTTGTTTTATTAAATGTTTATTTTTATTGTTAAAGAAATGTCTCTTACGTCATCTGAATCAAACGTATTTCACCGCCTCCTTCACGAATGAATACGCATGTTAATCTGCTAAATATAAATCTGATTAGCTTGTGTCAGGAGTCCTGACAGAAGGAAGAGGGTGATTACACGATCATGTAATTCCACTGTGAATTAACCTGTAGTTAAAGCCCTCCACCCTCAATTTCTTCAGACAGAATAGTCATTCTTTTTGACAACCAGAAGACTAGTTTAACAACTAGACGCCGAATAAGTGGTACACGAGTAAAAACTACTCCGTATCCCCAGTTAGCTCCTCACAATGGTAATGATCAGTTTATTATTTAGTTTAATATTAGATTAAAAAATCTGCGAGTCATAAGGTTTTTAATCTAATATTAAATATCTAACAGATATGTCGTTGGCTACGGCAGATAAATCGAAGTGATTGCGACAGAATGTAGTGTTGTAACTAGCTTCAAATCAGCGAGTGTAGAAGTGAGTAAATACAGAATGTATTTGAGGTAAGTACAATGTAAGTATTTTAACTAGAATTAAAGTATATTCTCGGTAATTCGGCCGTTCTCATCCAGTAATCCGACATAAATAACTTTCGGTTGTTTTCGGCAGATTTACTAAGTCACAAGCAAGATTTACACTAGTTCAAACAGTAATTCTTAAGGTTAGTGACACATCTTATGGTTATATATTATACCATACTTATAATAACTATATATCGAATAAGATTTTTTTATAGAAAAAAGTTAATTAACTATATTTTATTAATACAATTTTATCAAATATATTTTTAACAGAACGTAACCTGTTTTTTAGTTTGTCGAATTAGTAAACAGGTTATTTGAATTGACCTTATTAAAGGTTAGCTACATATATTTGATAAGAAAGAGTTGCTCAAGTAGAATTATTGATTCATAAGTTTAGTTTTAAAATAAGGTTTTTTTATATATATTATCTTTGTAGGGAAACTACAAGCTTGCACGACAAACACACGCACTTTGACAACGCATTAAATTGAGGAACAATTCATTAATATAAAGGTGAGTACAAGTTTTTGTTACTCATATAATAACCGAATATTTTACACATAAAGTACTGACAATAAAAAAAGTTCATGAAGAGAGTTTTGTATAAAATATAAGTTCAGATACAGGCAATGATCGTTCACTTTAAAAATCGAGGTTGGATTTTATAGACTGAACTTTAATTTTTTATATTGAGAAGCTTTTGTCTTTCACCGAACATGTACGTGTATATGTGTTATTTAATTGTTAAATTTGCTTATACGTATGCAGTTAACCTGTGTTGTACACGCATAATAATATAATGTGATTGTTTTAACATAAAAAAATAAGTTTTTTAGTTCAATAATCAAATTTTTATAACACAATTAGAAATAAAGTTACTTTACATTCTACTGTAAACCGATATTTTAGAATTACAGAATTAAATATGTAGAACGACTTATAATTACAGCATTTAATTTTTTCAATTTAAAAGATATAACAAGTAAAAAAATTAAATTGTCATATTTCATACATTATTTCTGAAATTAAAATGAGTGTATAATGTACTGTATAAGCTAGTGCAGAAAAGAAACACCTCAGTATGTTTATTTGCACTTCTACTAACCGTTACGTATCCAGAAGTCTTTAGAGGAGGCATTAAGAAAACAATACGTGTAAACAAACCTTTATTATATGAAATACTTGGCTTTATTCATGAAAAATCTTAAAAGAGGTGCTGATATGCCCTGCGCTTCCCTAAGTTCGATCCTGCTAACAACTACTAGCAAATCTAGAAGGTTTTCTAAAGGCATATTCAGGCAATATTCTTCATCTGACCTTGTTGATTACTTGGAAAATCATATGAAAGGCATGAGGACTCCGCTTCTCTTATTTCTTACAAAGCAAAAACAACTTATAAAGGAAATATAAAGCTTTTATTTGAATCACTATTAGTATTTTACATCAATTTCGAAATTATTCTTCAATTACTTCGTGTATATTATTAGAGTCTATGCCATTGTCTGAATGGTAATTAAACTTAATTATGTTTTTTTTAAATTTAAAGTGTAATTTCAATACATTTAATTAAGTCAATTACGTAACTTTTCAGCCGGTATTACTAATGCGCATTTAAATGTATTTAAAACTGGAAACACGAATAAATATATCAAAATTCAAACGAAAGTAAAGGTTTCGTAAGTGAAGGACAAACTGCTGATCTACTTGTCAGTTTAGTTTTTTATTAAGATTAGTATTTAATACATGCCTGCATGTTTCTATTAGTGAAAAGAACTTCCTCCACCCTGTTATATTTATTTAATTTGTAGTAGTATTAAATATATGAAGCTGGCTATATACTTCCTATATAATTCCTAATACACGTATTTTATAAAATTATAGAAGTTTTCGACAATACAGGAATTATTAAACTTTAAAATGGGTTAATAAATTCGCTTGTCCCAACACACTTACTAACAATACATACAGGAAAAAATAATTTTTTTTCGCATGTTTCGATGTTTGAAAGTCTACCAATTCCAAAAACGTAAAAATTTTGGGGTTATCTTTTGATCGATCGCTATACGTTCCCTCTGTTAAATACTGTGTAATTTTATAACAAATATATAATTCTAGGCTTGCACGTTGTGGCATATGAGTGATTTACATTTATACGATTTATAAAATCAATATTTAAATAAGTTCAAATTAATGTCGTAAAATATATATCGAAATTACTTACAGGTATAAAACATCAAATTATTATTATTATTATAACTTGAGATTTTACGCTTAATTAGCATTAATATAATTATATCTTAAATGCAGTGTTTCCGGTTTTGTACAAGATCAGTTAAATACATTACAATGTACTTATTTCTATATAATATGTAGTCTACCCATGCCCCATTGAATAAAACTAATGAACACTGAGTTGATCGTGGGTTCGACCAGGCCAATGTCTTGGCCATGTAACGTTTTCCGGGTTTTCTTCACTTTAATAACACATAAACCGGGACCAATATTCTATAAAACACCTCCGGGATGACTTTTTAATTTGGCAGATCATAGTGCTGTGTACGAATAACACTAAATCAAACCTACAATCTTTGTATGAGAAGACATTTCTCTATACGATCATCTCATAATTGTTACTGCAACAAGGCAACACAATACTTCAGCAATCTACCAACGGGCAACCTCTATTTAGGTCATTGATACACGAACAATACAATTGAATCTAAAACTGTTTTTCAGGCATGAACTCTTGACTAACGTTTAAGGGTTTTATCTACTTGTCAAATATTAAATCTCTCATTACAATTATTATCAAATCATTAAATATATTATATAAGTATATAAATTGTAACATGCCGTAGTTATATTAAAATTTATTTTTCTATTTTTATACATTTGCAGATATAACAGTCATCGTATTGCTTATCGTAAGGATTCCAGTCTCGTACATACTTTCATATAGGCTTGGATTATATTAAATTTGGAAAAATCAAATCAACAATACATTTAAGTATAATGTACATAATTACAACGATACTTGTTTCTGTTTTAGTGTGCATCATTTTATTATGGATAAGGTGAGTGAGGTTATTATTAATTTATTGTAATTAAATTCATTTAATTTTAATGTTACAGGGAAACTATTTTGATTCTGTACACATATAATTAGTATTAACAAAACAAGATTTTGTTTGTTTATGCCTGCGTTTTGTTTGTACCAATACAGAATTTTATTTTACATTTTTACTTATTGTTTGGGAGATTGCTGTTTAATTTCAACTTTCGCTAGCAGATCGTGTACAAAATATAGAAACTTTTATAATGGCAGGAACTTTGCTATGTATTACTCTGTGTTAGACACAGAGTAATACATAGCAGCATTTAAGCTTTTACAAATAAACGTATTTGATGAGAAAGATACATAGAGCAGTTGGGTATGAAGAATGGATGAAAAGTGCTTACCAATACCCATTGTAAAAGATGTGTTATTATAGAATACTTACCGAACACTTCGAAATTCAATACGGTATTCACAACATCGTGGCAGGCTCGTCAACCATACTTTTTTTAGAATTTGTAAACGTATTTAACTTTAGACACTTGCGGAGCAGTTTACGTGAGTGTAAGACAATACTCTATCATATAGCAAACAGCGTAATGTTGGGACGTTTACAATGAAATTAGTTACATGATTTTTGAGGATTTCATTTTTTATTTGTATTTGTTCTTATTTTTGGAAAGTTTAGTAAATTTTGAATGACTTTTCGCACAAAAATTGGATATTTTTATAGTTTATGTAACTAAATAATCAACGCGTTTAAATACACAAACTGGAGAAAATATTTAAGCAATGATGATGAACATATATGACAAAATTATATAAAAAATTAGTAAAGTCAATATACAAAAGTGATGTCTTCTCGAGATTTTAAACAAATAATACAAACTGGAATATACTATTTTGACCATAAAACAAAATATAATTCGATAGTTCCGAAAACGTTGAAAAAATGACAGAAAATCAGGTATTTATTTTCAGGATTCTATGAATGTTATGTTACGTGTAGTACGTAATTATAAGCAATATAAAGAGTATAAATGAGGGGGTTGTATCTTGTAAACTGTTTGTACAGTAAGTTAATATTAGAGAACACCCCTCTAAAAAATTCAGAACCAATTTCTTAGATATATAAATAAATTATAAGCGAATAGTATACCGTTGATAAAGAACACATTTCCTTGAATATTACCACCTTTTTCACCTAAATGTCTTTCATAAATTGAGCACATTTATCAAATGTATAATACAACTTTTCACTTATAACCTAAATTTTCTATTGCTTCTCTAATAATCTTGGTTAACTATATCATAAGATAAAGTAACCGTAAAGACTACTGCATAGAGAAAAAAACTGAAGTACATAATGGAAAATGTTTTATAAACTGGCTGAAATTGAGTAAAGAATGCGTTCATATCTATTCAGTATCGAATAACCAGGGTTACTTGAGATAGACATGTACAGATGACAGACATTTCATCTGTACATGATGTCTTTAGGTGTTACCTGTCTTTTCAGTCTCGCACATATCTGAAGCGAGAAATGATATGTAGTGTTACATAGTAAAAATTTCTTCTTTTGTATACTAAGAAAAAATCATAAATAATATTTTTATATTATGGAAACATGTTTTATAAAAACAATAAAAATAATTGAACTCATTTTAAAAGTAATTATATTAACATATTTTCTTTATACTTCGAGAGAGAATAAACAATAATCTTATAAGAATGCAATTTAAGCTTATACATGTGATTTATATAGAAGAAGAAAACAAAGAATGACATTGTTTCAACGTTACGGAATTCCAGGCCCAAAACCAAATTTCTTCTACGGAAATTTAATTGAATTCATTAAAGGGGTAAGTACTTTCAGTCTGAGATAAATCTGTAAAGAATTTATAATGTGAAATAAAATTTCCAACTTTTCGTGTGTAGAGGGACAAATGCATAGAAAAATGGCTACAGCAATATGGAAAAATGTTTGGGTAATGAATTTCTTTCCATTTAAACTGTATTTAAATTGATAAATATGTTTTAAGTACAAATTATAATTTAAATTTAATACAAAGTATAACTTAAAATTGATTCAACGTATGTTTAGGTTTTATCTAGGTGCAAAACCTTACTTAGTATGCAGCGATGTCGAATTTTTAAAACTTTGTCAAATAAAGGACAATTATAATTTTTACAATAAAGATGTAGGTAATTTTCAGAAACTATAAATTCTTAAAAGCTTAAAATTTATTTATGTATTTACTTCTTTTGTTTAAATTAAAGTGGGTGCTGCCAGATAGTGGATTTCCTCACGATGAATCTAAAAATATAGTTGGAATACTAACCGATAGGAAATGGAAAATACTAAGAAGTATTATTAGTACTTGTTTTACTACCGGAAAAATTAAAATGGTAATAAATTACTACTTAGATTTTCAAACATTACTACTTACATTACTACATTTACAAATAACTACTTAAATTATCTCTTGGAATTACATAACATTTTATAATTTAGACGACTACTCTAATGTCTTCGCCGATAAAAGTGTTTCTAACAAACGTCGAGAAGCAAGGAGATCAGCCGTTTGATATTTCAAAGTTGTGTAAAAAATTGGTGTTTGATATCGTCTGTACTTCAGTTTTTGGCGTAACTACAAATGTTCAAAACAATGAAACTAGTAAATTTGTTGAATCGGCTCACGCTGCATTTTCAGCTGATTCTGCTGATATTTTAGCCGCAATAACAAGTAAAATTTAAATTCATTTTTATTTAATATCTTATTATGAGTTAAACCAGAAGTATTAATAAATAATTTGTGTTAAATTTTTTAAATAATTTAGTTTGCTTTCCGGAAGTAGAGCCAATGTGTACGTTTCTTCGACATAAAATAGATACGTTAAAGTACATGTTGAATCTACCTTCTTTGACGTTGATTTATGAAACTTGTCAAAAAATCGTCACCTCCAGGAAGAAATTAGATGTGAGGTTATCGTTCGTACATCAATATTAATTACATGCAAACGTTTATTATTTATTTCTATAATTTCCTATTTTAGACTGTTCCACATGATATGCTGCAGACACTCATAGATGCGGAAGATGAAACAATTGTAGAAATGAAAAAACTTCCAGACAACTTTGTTATTGCAAATGCAATGATGTTTATGGCTGCTGCGTAATAACATCTCTAAATTTGTTTATGTTCTATATAAAACAACAGAATAAATTAGTTTAATGTAAAATTTTTAATTATGATTGCAGATATGACACAACAAGTGCTACAATAGGTTGGTGTATTAAACATCTCGCTAGTAATCCTGAAATACAAGAGAAAGTCCGTGAAGAAATAAGAAGCAACGTTTCTGAAGATGTAAAATTTTATTTCTAATTTCAAATGTGAATGTAAACAAAAACATCTGAAATGTAAATAATTACGCCATGTTAAACATTATTACATTCAAATTTTTTTTATTATAAGATTTCCTTTGGTAAAGATGAGCTTGACGCTTCGAATGCCATCATTATCTTTACCAAAGAAACACACAAAAAAAAAAACTTCTTTGTTTTAATATTATACTTGGCGCAAGTTTTTACGTTTCACGTGGTTTTTTAGGTTTAAATATTTTATCAGATGTTGGGATATTCCCATACCACAAAAGTATCGATATTGCCCCGTATCGGTATTGGATATGAACAGTAGATATCTCGCCAGATGACGTTATTCAGTCCTTAATGTGTCTTTCCCGTTGTTTTTGCTGCCTAGAAGGTACACCTATCTCTGTAAAAAATCGCATAAAAATAAACGCTATATAAAAAATTTGCGTAGAAAGTTATACGTACAGAAAAGAAGTCCCAGTTGTACAGACCTGTTAGTTGACACCGCGAATAATAATACTATATATGAAATACGGCAACGCAACACTTCGGCGATTTGGGGATGTCTTCTGGGTGGAATTTTAAGGGTAACTGGCCTCTGTTTTAGCGTTACAGATGTGGAGTAAACCCGAAAAACTCAACGTCTGTAACGAAGTAAAGAATCGATACTGGTATCGGAATCGCCGTTTACGGGAAAACTCTAATCATATGTGTGGCAAACACTGAAGATATTCTTTTCTAAATTAATATTTTTCTGTCATGAACCGCTGAATATTAACGATGATTAACCCACTTAAAAACATTATGAACATTTTACAAAACTCGAGTTTCTCCACATCTGTTTTTTCAAAAAAACATAGTTGTGTTTAATGGAATTGCGTTTTAAATACATACATATATATATTCAATTATAATACATTACAAATATAGCACTTATGTTAATTTATAGATGGATATCCAATATTCTGACTTGACGAATTTTCAGCTGCTGGATCAGGTTATTTCAGAAACACTACGCTTCTGGCCTTTTTCTTTACTGTAAGTTTCTGTGTAAACTTACCTTAAATGTTAAACGTAATAAATTTACGATAATATATTTTTTTTACATAGTGCAGTCAATAGAATATGTTCAGAAGATTACACTTATAAAGGTATAACCATTCCTAAAGGTAGTATTATAACGGTTCCAGTACAAGTGCTGCAAAGTGATCCAGCTTATTGGACTGAACCTGAGAAGTTTAATCCTTACAGGTGATATACTAATTATAACTAAATTATGTTTACATATATGTTATTAACGTAATTATTGGATATTGTGTGTTTTCAGATTTTCGTCTGAGGAACGAAGAGAAATTGACTCGATCATATACCAACCATTTGGAGCAGGGCATAGAATATGTATTGGACAGAGGCTAGCAAAAACAGTAATAAAATTAGTGTTGGCAAATATCCTGAGATCATTCAAATTAGAAAAATATGGAGATGATGTAAGTAATAAAATATTACATTATTAAAGCAACTGAAATTTTTCGAACGTTTAGACAGAATAAATTCAGTTTCTAAGGATTAGCCACATTATTCAAAAATAAAGAAATATTAAATTGCTTATATTCGAGAAATTCAGTTGCTATTCATAGTAAAACTTGTATTGTTTAGTTTACTATTGTTAACTTGTACATATTTATTATTCTTGCAGGATGAAATGGTGTATACCCTATTTTTGAGTCATCCTAAAAATGGAATAATGATTAAAACAACTCCATTAGCTTCGTGATTTATTATAATCTTTTATTTTTACGCTTAAAAAAGAAATAAAGATAAAGTTTATAAATTTGTTTACGATTTAAATGTTTGTTTAAGCTTGTATTTGTATATTTCAATAAGATTATATTATTTCTTATAATAAAAATATTGCAATAGTCCCAATTTATCGTCGTCTTTGAATAACTTTATTATTTTATATTAACATAATCCTAAGTACAGTCTTGTAATTTAAATGTGAATAGCAACGAAGATAAAACTAAATTATTTAGTACAGTGTAGTATTTTTCTCTTGCTGTCCGATCTAGGCACACTTAAAAGAACATTTTAGGAAACCCCATTATTCGTGTGGTAAGTGGCATATCCTAACGATCCACTCTCCGTAAGAATTTCTATGTTCTTTCCTTTCGGTTTTTCTTTATATAATTTTTTTTCGTTTGCCTTCTAGACCCTTTTTTCCTCCATCGCAAGTTCGTGAAGCCTGTAATAATGCAGATTTATGTTGAAGAAACCGACATATGTGCGATAGACCACAATCAGACCCATCTTGTTTTTTAACTTCCCAGTATCTAACCAGTTTCCAGCAGAAAAGTATATTTATTCCTTATTTGGCAATACATTAATCAATTCCGATAATAATATTAGAATTTTAATTCCAGTAAGAGTATTAACAGCCGTGACAATATCAGATAAAACTTAGTTATAAAGGCTGAAAGCACTCTTTGAAACTTAATAATATGGATAAATCGGTGTTCTCGAGTAATTCTTCGATATTATTACTAATTCTTATTTCAGGTTTTTGATATGCCGATAGCAATTCGTAAGCGACCAGAGTCGTTTCGCCATTAGATTGTTTTTCCTATTACTTTTTTAATTAATCTTTTTGCCATAGACAATAACGGCGCCAGTAGAAGTAGAATTCCACCAGATTGATTAACCAAATTTTTTTTTTTAACTTGATAGGGAGCAGTTTCTTCCAATATTGCTCTTCGTTGAAGCGGAGTATTCTCAGCTAAAATCGCCAACATATGAAAATTTTTCTTTACGTTCTTCATTTTATCGGTAATTACAGTCGTCCCCCCTATAACACTGTTGATTATTCCGTTTTATATGAATTCCATGTTGTACGGGTTACTTAAATTTTACAAATACGTGTGTCGGGCTGTGAACGGCTCACGTATCCAAAAAATACCTCGTTCATCCGGAAAACACGAATCCTTCACTAAAAGTCTCTTGTTTGTTTTAGGATGAAAATCCAATAACAAATAAACAAATTCCTTTTCTATAGCTTTTTTATACGCATCCATAAAAACGATTACATTTGCCTGCAAAAGCTTGGCACCCGAAACAACTTATTTGACTTTCATCACGATTATTTTTAATTCTTCCATTCTCATCAACAATTACATAACCGAATTTTTATCTTCTTTTCATATTTCTCCGTTAACTTTATAAAGTAACGCAAACTAATAGGAAAATTATCGGGAATATCGAAAGGAAAATTATTTACCGCAGCAATATAGCTATCCAGAGACTTGTACAAACGAGGGAAAACAGAATAATATCTGTCGCTGAACATTTTTACTTATTGTTTTAGGAATTTCTGTCTAATTTCAACTTTTGGTTGCAAACCGTGTACAAGATACAGCCACTTTTTTAAAACTGTAATTAATTTGACATAGCTTATACACTAGACACCGCTATATCATATTTTGAAAACAAACGTTGGTTTGCTTGAAAATTTCGAATATTTGATTATATTACACTCATACTACGAAATGAAAAATATGCGTTATTTATCGTAAAATTCTATAAACAAGTAGTCATCTTCAGCAAAATAAGGAAACTGAACATATTTATAGAATTTTTAATGAAATAATTATCGAAATAAAGTAATAGAACAATGGCTAAGCAATAATAATTAAAAAAACACACAGAAAAATAAATTACATGGTAAAATGACCCGTAGTTTTTGAAACAGTTAAAAAGTTATTAACACAATACAATGTTATCGATGCTCTAGTTTTTAATAATATTAAAATTTGTTAAAAATTAAAGAAAGTATTAATCAAAAACTGATATGATGCAAGAAAATAACGTTATAATAGAATTTCCTGCAATTACCAACCAAAATATCAATACATACGTGTGAGACTGGAAGAACACTAAAAATTAAAACAAAACGTACATTTGCACTAGATAAAATATAATTATGTCAATTCAGCAATTGCCATATACAGTAGAACCTCGAAAACTCGGCTCTCGATAACCCGGCATTCCGGATAACTCGGCCACACCCTGGCAGGGCAAAAAAATTCTTAGTTAATTTTAATTATAGACAGCTTTATAAAAGTATAAAAGCTCTCATAAAGTATTTTTCTGAGGTCCGACTTATCAGGTAAATTACTGTACACAGTGTATTCATTAATTTTTATTTTCATGTATAAAGGTTCTATGCCTTCATAAAGGACGTACTTTTCCTTTGTTTAAGGGTATTTGGGCAGTTTATTCTCTGTTATATTCTCAAGTAAACAATACATACAAGTACAGTACAGTATTTTCTGAGGAAACACTCGTACTTATTTTTTTAACCCCATTCCCTATAACCCGGCATTTTCACAAACTCGGCCACCCTTCGGTCCACATTAGGCTGAGTTTTCGAGGTTCTACTGTATTAGAATTAGAAATGTTGTTAAACTTCTCAAAAAAAGTATGGTTAAAAGGAAATTAAAAATTTTTAAGATAACATTAAAAAAAAAATGAATTGAAACGAATGTTAATATCAGAGTGATGTGGTAACCACTATTTCAAAATATGGCATTGAAACCACTGGCAATTACTATTTTATAATTGCAATTATTACTTCAAATACAAATAAAGTCTATTGGAATTTCCTTTTAATCCTCCTTCCCCACCTGTTTATAGTACAACAATAAAGCCGATATCAATGAAAATTCTTTCTGTGAGTTAAGTTACTAAACATAGCCGAAATAAAACATATATATTGTTTACTATCGTATATCGTTATTGTTCTTGTAGTGAAAAAATTGCAATAGTTTCGATTTATCTTTGTCTGTACATATACTTCTTATTTTGTATCAATATAATTATAAATAGAGACTTGTAAAGTAAACCTGAATAGCAATGAACACAGAAACCAATTATCTAGTAAATACAGTGCTATTTTTTTTTCTTTGCGATTTGCTCTAGGCGCACTAACAGGGACATTTTAGTAAACCCCGTTATGTGTTATTCAGGGTGTGAATGTTACACGCGTCTGGTGTACTCCCGAAAAAAATTTCTGGGGTTATTTGACTCGTTTGGGTAGATTTTCTTTTTCTTAACTTTTCCTCCATTTGATACTAAAAGTGCTTTGTTTCAATTTCCATCTATGTCCACAATAGAATGGACAGGTGATGAAGAACCAGATATATACGCGAGAGACCACTCCGGAGAAGAGGGATTTTTCAACCAAACCCGGGAGCAGAAAAAAGATATATTGTCTGCTTATATGTTCGGCAATACATTCACTTAAATATGTGTCAGATTTATAGGCTGAAGCTATTTGTATTTTCTATGAAATTGTGATATGTATATCTGTTGTTTATCAAATTTTACTTTCTCAGATGTTATCTATACATAACAATGTGAAGTTTTGGAATATTGTCAAATCTGATCTGTTTTTTGTAAATTACCGTATTTTTAGATTTTATAAACCCAAAAAAGTCAAAAAACGAAAAGATTTCCGTGTGTTTGTGGAATGTGTTTTGGCGTCAATTTCGTTTAATATTTCAGGATGGTGTTATGATTAAGTAACGAAATTTAAAATAGTAGCTTGAGTGTAAGGGATATTAATGCTAGTAACTTTTAATGGATATCGGTGGAAAGACTGGGGTAGAGGTGGTCATCTTTCATATCTGGAGCAAAATTGGACTTAATTAATAAAAATTTTTGTTGGTTAACATTTTCATTTTTTTTTTTTGTTATAAAACTCATTTTTACCCTCCAAATGAAAAGTTTTATCAGTATATAATAATTAATAATATAAGATTTTATCATATAATCTATTTATAACAGATGGCGCCACACACATTTTTACTTTTTACTAGTATCATTAATAACATAAAAATTATTTTTTAAATAAAATTCTTTAACAGCGAAGAAAGTTATGCAAATTGTTGCTAGATCTTTTATTTCACTATACTATTGGTATAAATTTACATAATAATCAAAATTTTGTATTTTTTTTACAGAAAATTGTTTTTAAAAAGTTATCAGTGTGTAATTTTTTTTACAATTTTTTTAAATAAAAGCATAAATGGTATTAATTTTTTAGTCTTTTAATTTGTATTATCATCTAAACACTATACTTTTGATTTACTTTCAGCTTGATTCTGAATTGCGCGGTCATCAATTTTTATCATAATACCCATTCTATCACTTCAGAATCGTCTTTATTACAGATCTTTATCACATTGCCATTACAGAAGTGTCATTGACATGTAGAGAAGTGTTAGTCGTCTAGTTACATATTAATGTTAACTTATTACATATATAATAGAGACTCGTGTGTAAGAGAGACTCTATCAGGCTGTTAATTTCATATAAATATTTGAATAAATTCGAGTTAAAATAACAATTAAAATAAAGTAAAATGTATAAGTACGATGCTATGCTTTTATCTTATGTGTCAACGTCATGGATTACAGAAATATTTTTGTAAAGAGAGAGAAGTGTCATAAATCTGAAACAATGTAATTAAATTCCAATAATAAAAATGGCATCATGAATGTATTAACTTTAACTTACGCAACTGTTCTGTCTTCAGTAGCAACATAATGATGACAAAATAATGATAAAGGTGAAGCAATTTCTGAGAGTAATACACTTATTTTCGAATTTATAAACTTTATCAAGACATTTTTCTTCGCCTACATAACTATTTTTCATTAAGGAATAATAGACAGAACTTATCTATTTTACAACGTTGAATTGCAATGCAACATACAATGTTAAGTGCAATAGTTTACTGTGGAATGCATGCTACTCAAACAGAAGAAATATTTTCGCGCATAAGAATTCTATTGCAAAAATTACGAGAATATACATTACAACCGCCCATAAATATATTTCATTTAGTGTTTTGTAATTTCATGAAGAAAAAAAGGGGCTAATATCTTACTCTTACAACATTAATTAATTTAATTGTTCAATTAGGGTCAAACTGAAAATTTCACATACAAAGATAAAGGGACATAACTGACTAATAAAGAGAATGCTATAAGGAAAGATTTCTTAAGATTTTCCATATTTTGCTCTTGCAAATAATTTGAAACATAATTTCAACAAATAAAGGATACTTTGTCAACAATTTTAAAATTATTCTATTAAATGTTTACTTTATAAACTCACCATTATTAAATAATTCAAAACGAAGAAACAATTAGAAATATTCATACATATATGTTTCTTTAATCCGAAAAAATCACAAGAATTCCAGCAGACTATCTTACAGCCTTTAAATCAGAAACATCCTTTATTGAAGATACAGGTTACATATGCATTTCGGGCTTATTTTTTCGTGGAAAATTGTGGAAAACCTTTTTGTATAGCACTAAAGAGAGTTTAAAAACCCTTCTCAATGGTATACATAAAGAAGGTTTTTTACAGTTTTTTTACAAATCCTTCTGCCACACTAATATGACATTTCTGGATTTTTTTACATTATTTAGGAATCCTGTAAAATGTTTAGAATTGTAATTTAAAATGATATACGCCCAGTCTATCGGAATTCTTGTGATTTTTCAGATTAAAGAGATATTTATATGTACGAACTTATAAACAGCTACTATAACAAATATTTGAAATTAGAAATATCATTGAACACTATTTACTTAAGAATCCATCAGTTATTTTTAACATTATTCTTTATTATTCAATTTGAAACAGCAATGAATACAAATAAGTTTTCAAAGATTGTATTACATCGAATGCAATTAATTTCAGAAACGTGTTAATTGATGATTATTTATGTTTAAAATGATGAAGATAATGGAGTTGCTTTCACGTTTATACCATTCTTAGGAAAATAGTAGAATAGGTGGTATTCTCTCTCGTTTTCCTGTAAAAAAAATTCAATCCACTGAAGTAAACAACATACCAATAAAAATCAATATTAAATTAAATTAAATTGAAATTACATTATTAAAGAGAAATATTGCAACTGATCTTCTCAAAATTATTTACTACAGGTATACCTCGCCTTACGTCGTTAATTGGTTCCAGGAAAACGACGTAAGTCGAATTTACTTGTCTCCGAATCTACTTGTCACTAGGCTAAACCATAAATTATTATTCCCTGTTCTGTATTTTATTTATTAATGCATTTTTAATAATATATGGTTAATAAAACTCTATTTTAAGCTNTTGTTACATTAAAACATTAAAAATAACACACTGTTTAATTATTTCCCGTTTTAACAGTAAAATGTTACTAATTTAATTAATGATACATTTAGGTATTTGCTATATTTCCTAATTCTTGTGAAAACAGTTATATACTTTTATTAATTCGTTTAGTTATTTCATACGTTAAATAATTACTCATTAATTAATAATTATATAAAATATCCGATTTGTTCACTTTAACTATAATAGATAAATTAGTGTCCTGTGTGTTTATGATATACCCACATTTTGAATTAAAAATGAGAACTTACATTTTCAGAAACATTGTTTCTTATTTCTTCACGAACTTTCTCTTGAATTTCAGGATTACCAGCAAGATGTTTAATACACCAGCTCATTGTAACACTTGTTGTGTCATTTCTGCGAAAGTTATTAAAAATTCTATATTAAACCAATTAATTTTTGTGTTTTCTACAGAACATAAACAATTTTATAAAGATTATTACGCAGTAACCATAAACATCATCGCATTTGCAATAACAAAATTGTCTGGAAGTTTTTTCATTTCTACAATTGTTTCATCTTCCGCATCTATGAGTGTCTGCAGCATATCTTGTGGAACAGTCTAAAAGAAAAGGTATAATCGGGAACGACGTAACTCGAAACGACGTAAGTCGAGGTATGCCTGTAATTATATTTTATCGAATTTTTAGATATGAGATTTTGTTCAATCATAAGTTAGAATACATACGTTACTGTGAATGAACGATATCTGGCGATTGTCAACATTCTCTAATGAATGTCAGCATTCACACAGTCGTTTCGTATATGTACGAAATATTTGCTAAATATCATTATTTCTCACTTACACCGGCAAATGTCGAATAAAAATATATAAGACAAAAATGCAACTTTTTAATATGTCAAAATAGGAATAAGCTTAGGTAAAAGCACATGTAAATAAGCTATTGAACCTAAAACAAACAGTACAGTCTAAATCATAAAAACTCATACAATAATAAATTTACACATAAATTACGTGATTAAAGTTGTACAAACTTATTTATTGCAAAAACTTAAACTGTTATGGCACTGAATTGCACAAGAGTCCGTTTGTTTACAGCTGCATTTGTTTGTAGAACAGTTCTTTTTACAATGACAGCTATTATAGCCTTTCCCTGCATTTTTCGAATTATTTTCAGCTGCTTCTCTCAGCGATATTTGGTCTTTCACCGACGTATGTGTCAACATTCACCGGAGAATATTAACATTTTCTAATTTCGGTTTTCACAGTAACATATATGAAATATAAATTTATTTATTTAATGTAATATACGAGTATATAAAAACAAAGATTGCTATTGCTTACATCGTCTCCATATTTTTCCAACTTGAACGATCGAATCAGATTTGCCAGTATTAACTTTATTACAGTTCTTGCTAACCTCTGTCCCATACAGATTCTATGCCCTGCTCCGAATGGTTGGTAAATGATAGAATCAATTTTCTGCATTTCTTCAGATGAAAATCTTAAACCATGCAAAATTTTTAATAATTACTCTTTTAAAACTTGTTAATAAACCAGATGTAAACATAATTTAATTATGATTAGCATATCACCTATAGGGATTAAACTTATCCGGTTCTCTCCAATAAGCTGGATCATTTTGCAAAATCTGTATTGGAATCGTTATCGTACAACCTTTTGGTATGTTGATGTCTTTATAACGATAAACTTCTGAGCATATGCGATTTACACCTCTACGTATAAAAATATTTACAGAAAATATATTTATTATATTTTATATTTAACTTCATAAGTTAATACTGGAATTTACATTGGGGTAAATGGCCAGAAGCGAAGAGTTTCTGAGATAACTTGATCTAGGAACTGAAAATTGCTCAAGTCAGAGTACTGTATATCCACCTAAAAATTAATGAAAATTCTGAAATTGTAATTTTATTAATTATAAAAACATTTCAAATACAGTATGTATTTTCACTGTAATTGTTTACACATTAATGGAAAAGGCATATTCTTAATTATTTGCATCAGTTCATTTCAAACTGGAATTATAGTTAAGTAATAATTCGTTTTTTTATTACATTATCTTAGACTCTGGCTACAGGAGTTTTATAACGTGTGAAGAACATCCCTCAGAAGTAGATCGACATTAAAATGACAGTGTGAATTCCAGTATCAAATATAAACTGAAGAAAGTAGATGCTAGATCTTATTCGGATTTGTGATGGCAAACACAGTTAGATGGTTTTATTGGTTAGGTAGGGATAAAAGTGGAATCGCAAACTAGTTTTACAGTAGATCTTAAGAACCATCTGTAGGGAAACACTTCGTATTTACGCTCGATAATATTTATAGTATGCAATTGCTATAAGATGTGCTGTCAAAGTTGAAAGTACCGAAAGTAAATGAAAATTGAATTTTTCTTACAAAATATTGTGTAGTAATAAACAATAGCATACTGCGAAAATGTAAACAATGTTGTAATAAATATTCATTAAAAGCATGTTTCTACTGCAGGGCCTGATGAAATGTAGTTAGCAGTAAGTGTTACTTAGTTATTGGGCTGCAATTTAAAAAATTGTAAACCTATAAATTCCGACCGTCAACCACCTGCCAGTCCTTAGACTTGAGAATAGAGTTAGATAGATGATAGACACTAATTTATTGCTAACAGGAAACGTATGATGTACAGGGACAAGCTACTACTGATTTGAGGTGGGGCATAAATTTTGAATGTAATACATTAAAAATATGGTTAAAAATTGTAGCCCGGCATTATGAAGATGCCAGAATAAAATAATCGCTCGTAAGAACATTTTTAAATAAAATCAAAACAAGTTATAATTATATATAATCTTTAATTCATATTTGGTTCAAATTTATGTTTGTTACATTAAAACATTAAAAATAACACACTGTTTAATTATTTCCCGTTTTAACAGTAAAATGTTACTAATTTAATTAATGATACATTTAGGTATTTGCTATATTTCCTAATTCTTGTGAAAACACGTAACAGTTATATACTTTTATTAATTCGTTTAGTTATTTCATACGTTAAATAATTACTCATTAATTAATAATTATATAAAATATCCGATTTGTTCACTTTAACTATAATAGATAAATTAGTGTCCTGTGTGTTTATGATATACCCACATTTTGAATTAAAAATGAGAACTTACATTTTCAGAAACATTGTTTCTTATTTCTTCACGAACTTTCTCTTGAATTTCAGGATTACCAGCAAGATGTTTAATACACCAGCTCATTGTAACACTTGTTGTGTCATTTCTGCGAAAGTTATTAAAAATTCTATATTAAACCAATTAATTTTTGTGTTTTCTACAGAACATAAACAATTTTATAAAGATTATTACGCAGTAACCATAAACATCATCGCATTTGCAATAACAAAATTGTCTGGAAGTTTCTTCATTTCTACAACAGAGTCATCTTCTGCATCTATGAGTGTCTGCAGCATATCTTGTGGAACAGTCTAAAAGAAAAGATAATAGAAATAAACAATGAAACATCGCATTTCATTCATATTGACATACTAACAATGAACTCACATCTAAATTCCTTCTGGAGGTGACAATTTTCTGACAGGTTTCATAAATCAATGTCACAGAAGGTAGATTCAGCATGTACTTTAACGTATCTATTTTATGTCGAAGAAACGTATATATTGGCGCTATTTCCGGAAAGCAGACTAAATTATATAGAAAGTTATACAAAATTATGCATTATCACTTTACTTTTAGCTCATAATAAAATATTAAATGATAATGAACTGAAACATCACTTGTTACTGCAGCTAAAATATCGGAAGAATCAACTGAAAAAGCGACATCAACCGATTCAACAAATTTACTGGTTTCATTATTCTGAACATTTGTGGTTACACCAAATGCTGATGTACAAACGATATCAAACACCAATTTTTTACACAACGTTGAAATATCAAACGGTTTATCTCCTTGCTTCTTGACATTTCTTAGAAAGACTTTTATCGGTGAAGACATTAGAGTAGTCGTCTAAAATTTAATTTCCTATTATATTTTAAGAGGGATATTTTTCAAATCAAGTAACATCAATATACCATTTTAATTTTTCCTGTACTGAAACAAGTACTGAGAATACTTCGTAGATTTTTATATTTTTCATCTGCTTGCACTCCTAGCGTATGTTTAACAGAATCGTGAGGAATTCCAGCATCAGGCAGCACCACCTTTCGAAAAAATAAATTGTTACATCAAAAAATTTTATGACTGAATTTATAAGTTTTGATAATTACTTCATGATACGTACATCTCTATTGTAAAAATTATAAGATTCTTTTATTAGAGAGAGTTTCAAAAATTCGACATCGCTGCATACTAAAAAAGGCTTTCCTCCTAGATAAAAACTGAAGATACTTTGAATAAGATGTAATTTTTAATTTATATTAAATTGGAATTATAAGTTTATAAATAAAATGACAATCATTGAATATACATCAAGTTTTAAAGATAAAAAAAAATTAATTACCCAAACATTTTTCCGTACTGTTGTAGCCATCTTTCTATGCATTTGTCTCTCTGCACGAATAGTTGAAAATTGTATATTATTTTGTAAATTCTTCTTTGCAGTTGCATCTGAAACTGAAAATACTTACGTCTTTATTGTACTCAATTAAATTTCCAAAGAAAAAGTTTGGTTTCGGGCCTGGAATTCCGTAACTTTGAAACAAAGACATTCTTTGTTTTCTACATCTGTAAGAATATTATTGTAATGTTTACTATAAGACCAATTTTAAATTCTTATGCTTATTTATTACTATAAAACATTTGTTAAAATAATTACATGCATTATATATAAGTAACAGAGAGGTTGCGGCCGAAGATTTCATCTTTAAAACGTGAACGTCGAACGTCCAGCGCTGCTTTCAAGATAGTGGCGCTCGACGTTTGACGTTCACGTTTTAAAGATGAAAACTTCGGCCGCAACTTCTGTAATATCTTCGTCTGTATAGAATTTTATATATAATCGACGATTTACAAACTAAATGTGTAAGCCAAACTTTATATTACAAATACAGGAAACCTATTTGTGACTCGAATTCAGTTTATTAAACGGTTTACCTGAGTTTTATTTATAATCAATTGTTTTTTAACCAATAAACACAGTTCAGTTAAAAAGACAAATTTTAATTCGCTATTTTATTCTATTAGAATAAGTGCTTATACTCCGGTCGGATCGGATTTGAGTACTATTTTGAGTACACAATATGAATCATATTCGTTTATACAGACTTTCTGCTAGAGCATGTGTAACATGCTTTTAACTCTGTTGATAACTCTTAACTATAGCAAGTTACATAAGCTCTAGCATATATAACATTGTAGAAATAATAGCATTTCAGTATCAGTTAACCATAATACAGTTGTGGAGTTACAATTTAATATTATAAATAATTTTATTACATTGAAAAATAAGTCACTCACCTTATCTATAATAAAATGATGCAAACGACAACGGAAAGAACAATGGCTGTACTTATATTCATTGTAGTTGTGCAATGCTTATTTAATATTCTAGTCCAAGTATCTGTAAAAAACAAGAAAAAAGCCTGACGTATTAAACAACGCAATGCGATAAATGCACGTTAAAGAACTTATAAAAAGCAAAACAATATAAAACATCACTATTTTGTAAGTGTATAATCATTGATAATGTATGATTTAATAGTTTCGTAAGAAAATATAATAAAACATTATTTTAATCAGTTTGAAAAAATATATAATTAATAAAAATATATAAATTTATTATTATGCAATATATTGAAAAGAGAAAAATAAATCGGGATAAGATGAAATAATGGATAGCAAGCAAATTTAATAGATATAAGCAAAAATCCATTACCGAGTTGTATATCTTTTCCGGCAGAAACATTTAAAATTGGGTATGAAGCCATCTGTTATGACAGATATCGCCAATATTTTTGACATCACGGACCACTAAACTCACAATTTTCAATGCTGAAACTCACTATTATGAATTTTTTTTTAAATCATTCAAACATCTATATAATGGTGATAAAATACGTTTCATTTTATTTTTTAAATTAACAAGCAGATAAGCCAGACGTTGTCTTGGACAAAAGATAAGAACAAACATTAAGATTAGATAATTTCGTAATTTTCACCCTTTTATTCTATTATATTATAGAATTTGGTTTATATAACTACACACGTTATCTTACCCGTTTTCACTGGGTGCAAGAAGTATGCACCCCCTTTCTTCCGAGGCTAATTAGAGTATTTTTAGATGAGTCTATGTTTGATTTATCTCAAAACGCAAAAAAAACGCATTTAAAATAGTACAGTAGGAGCCGTGTTCTTCAGGATGATACTTAACCCTCCCCTCTCCCGCTGGAGACGATTTCGAAAAATCCCTTCTTGATGTACATTTTCGTGGTGTACACTAACTGTGTAGCAAATATCAATTTTCAATTCCTAACCGTTTGAACACTGTTCTTCTTCTTATTATTATTATCAACCCATCTCCGATTATATTATATATATATTATATATATATTCTGATATTTATTATATTATATTATGATAATTACATTATAGCAATTCTTACCCGTTTTCACAGAATGCAAGAATTAGGTCCCCGTTTCCAGACTAGAGAATTTTTACGTTTAGTCAAACGAACTATTTTCAACGTTTCTGGAACGTTTACAATCGTTCTATAAACGAACCAATATTCGAACAAATTCGAACAAAACATTCCAAATAGAAAGCCACTTTCAACCACTTTCAAGCCCATATCTCCCGCACCCTTATAGCTATCGAGACGCAACCACCCCTATGCACGAACGGAGACTTGGGGCTACCACAACATACAAACACCATTCACGTGCGATGTGTAGTTTTTGCGGAAAAATGAAATATAGGGACATACATGTCCATTTATATATATAGATATAGATATAGATAAGAATTTGACTTGTTTCCTTATAACAAATTAGTATGAAGTTTTGTTGCTGCTTGTTTGAAATAAGTTGTTGGCTCTTTTCCACGAAAGACGACATTCGCACTTACAACATTATTTATTGACCTTTTGACATTATTATTTATTGATAACAGTCATTTCCTTCGTAATACTTCGCGTAACCTTGAGTTCATCAATGTCCAATTTTCTCCACGGACAATCAAAATTTCCTTGTGGACGTAACTTTTCAGAGATGATATACGTTTTATAACAGAATAATAAATGTTAACAATGAGTAAACACTTTATTAACTCCTACTTCTCTCGAGATGTATGACCATTCTCTATTTCTCATTCTCTCGATTTTTCACCACTAAAATTTAAGAGGATCAACGCCCCTCATACAGCAGCCACAGTGCCAAATTTCGTTACGTAATCTTCACCCTATTCTGAGACATTAAGCGAAATACAATCCAACACACAGTAACATCAATAAAAAGAAAAAACTTTACTTTTTTTTTTAATTTCTCGACATTTGAAGGAATCCGGGGGCGAAAAATACCAAATTGTTATGCTAACCCTTGTCATATATAGCGAGGAACGTAAAAATAGCTGGGTATAGCGAACAAGGTTAGATGAGCGAAAATGATAATTGAAGACGATTGATAATGCACTGAGTTATGACGAATAAACAACTGATCAAAAGATGATTTAAAGTCAAAAAGTCATTATAAGTTTTTAAATTTATATAGATAAATCGAATGTTGAAATTAGATCAAGGTCTTCACATTATTTCATTCGAAGTTTACGAAACCAAAAAATATTCACAAAAATCTATATTATAACTTTATGAACTCAAAGATTAAATACATCACAAACCCTTAAATTTCTATTCGCAGAATATTAGCATTACATTAAAAACTTTAAATATACTTTTATTCTAAGAATGGAAGTACTGTACAAACAATGGATGTGTTAAGTAACAATAAAAGTGTTAAAAATGAAAATGTGAAGAGAAAGCGACCTGCAAGATTTACAGGCGCAGATGCGTTTTTGCGCAAAATCAAACATATTTTTAGACGCATCTAAAATTTTTTAATTATTCTACAAACAAGGGAACCTAATTCTTGCATTCTGTGAAAACCGGTAAAATTGGCTGTAATGTAATAATCTTAATCTTCGCTTTCGTTACTTTTTGCCAGAGCAACGCCGGGTTTATCTGCTAGTAGTTTAATAAGATAGAATTAATGGCATTAATTGAAGTTTCATCAATTTCTTCTACAGTTGTACTGTTACAGAATTTTAAAAAATAGCCAATAAATATTCACTTACCACAGGGGGCAGCTGTTGAGTGATCTGGGCTCTTGGTGAGTAACACTTTTTTTATTGTAAATTACTGATTCTTTTATTTATTTGCTACCTAAGTTGGTGCGTTTTTATGCTGAATTGTGTTATTCTGCGTCATTATTTTTTTTTGGAAATGTTCCCACGTACTCCTCCAGAAGTGTTAAAGCAAACCCAAGAAGAACGGAAAAGAACTAAACGTTATCGTTTACCGAGTGATCCGGGTGTAAAATATCTAAAGTTAGAACATTATTTTAAGAGGAAATCTCTTCCAGACTCGGATAGATAAGAATTGTTACGGCAATATTTTGAGACGACATTAAATGCAGGGTTAAAGTCCAGATGCGTGTACCGTCATTGCGACTCATCTCTGATTCCAGCAAACAAAAGAAAGGAAACAGTGGGGACGCACGTTCTAACCTAACCTAACCTATTGTAATTAATTACCATAATTATTACCAACCAAATTATTAGAATAGGTTAGGTTAGGTTAGGTTAGAACGTGCGTCCCCACATTTGCTGGAATCAGAGATGAGCCGCAATGACGGTATACGTATCTGGACTTTAACCAAATGCAGTAATGATGCAGTTGATGTCGAAGATAAGCTCGCCAATTTGGAAATGGCCAACCAGTCAACCTTGTCCTCGGTAAGGAAATTGGAACAGCAACACCAGTTACCTTTGGACCGCATTGGTGACTTACACTCCTTTGCCTACGATAGACAAATTAATGCTTCAACAGAAGCAATTTAATGTTGTTTAATCATAGTATTATCCTCGAGTTAGATTTGCGGGGTTATATTGTTAACTTATTTTCTAAGGAATTGGATGTGACTGATCTGTCGGGGCATAATATTTTTGGTGTTTCCCGTTTGAGAGGTAAAGTTCGGGAATTCTATAGCATCCAGTTGTCGTCCTGGAAATGTCGAAATTATTTATTGCAAAAATTTCGGACGAAAACTCGACAAGAGGGCAGGGAAAAATCAGTGAAATTGAGGTTGGCACCGGATCTGTCGTTTAATTCCCGTGTTCGCCGTAAAAACCTGGTTACTTTTTTAAAAGAATACCGGGAAGCTGGTCGTCGTGTTTTTTTGCGAGATAACGTATTATATATAGATGACAAGAGATTCACGTATTCTATCTCGGGCCATCGCTTAATAGAGGTGCCTGTTTTTTTTTTATTTTGAATTTTCCTCCCCGCAGGAGAGTCGGTTTGGAGGGACTTTCAACTTTATCTTGCCCGGAACAGTTTGGTTCAAGGAAATCTCTTGCAGACCAAGAGATTTCCTTCACTGACTGGTTTATTTATTATCAACATTTATTTACTTTAAATACATCGAACTTACCCCCGATTCTGTCACTACCGATGGCTTCTTTTGTTGTTGATCCTATTTTAGATATTCCTATCTTTGATACCTAGGTGAATACAGCACTTCAAAATATGCGAATTCGTTCTTCTCCCAGGGTGAATAATGTTTCACTGTCTTTAATTGTTTACCTTAAGGAAAGTTTGGTTCCTTACTTGGCCAAGTTATTTAATCGGGTTTATGACACTGCTAGAATTCTGAAATCGTGGTTAGAGGTATAGATAAAAGTTATCCATAAAAAAAAGTCCACTAGATGAGCCCGCTAACTTTAACTAACCCCTCTCAGCTACAGTGAGGCTTTTTCTACTTTGAAGAAGTTTTCATCAAAAAGATCGCTCAAATTCTGTTAGTTTACTAAACTAGAAAATCTATTTAATGGAATAGGTATCTCACTCTCTTTGATAGATTCCTCTCCAGATGTTTTGAAATATTACGCAGATACAATTTTACAAGAGTTTGATAATCTTTTTTTGAGAGAAGAAGGGGACAGGATTCTTAAGGCTAAGTACCATTTATGGTACCCAGAAATATTAGACAACAACCGGTGTTTTTACAAAAAAAAAAAAACACCGGTTGTTATCAGCAACTACCGTTTATTGTTAAAAAAACGATAATACAGATTCGTCTAAACAAGTTTCGTTTAACATGCAAACACTTGTGTATTGATCTACGTTCACCGGAAAGGTGTCCATTTTGTAAGAAAGGATATGCGACTTTAAATCACTACATGTTTGACTGTAAGGATTTTGAATATTTGCGTTTATCAACACTTTCTAACAATGTTTTTTGTACTAATAATGTTGTTTGCAAAAATCCGGAAGACAGAATTCATGGATTATTCTCTATCAACGACTCAGTATAGTCTATATGGTATAAATATAATTTATTGACGAAAGTTATTAATGTTACCCCTCCTCCTAAAAATTAATTTTATGTATGGAGTTTACAATAAATAAATAAATAAATAAATAAATAAATATTCACTTACCACAGTTTCAAATCTTTTTAATGTGTTTGAAAAGAATATGAATAGAAAATAAATTTATGTAAACTATTTTACGTTATTAATTAGAACTTATCTGTAAGAGAAAAATAAGTTATAAACATATTACTTATCTGGTTTACGGTAGACTAAAACATCTTCGAGTGTTTGTCCTTCGCTTTCGATCGATTAACTAATCAATTTACAGCTTTACTTTCCTATCAATTTTGATTTATTTTCTGATTTTGTATTTAATTTACGACAAGAAAATAACTACCGTCAATTAAATATAAACAATTTAAAGTTTTACATATTGTGTAGTACGTAAACGATTTACTTACTACAACTCTGTGTATGAATCACTGGTAAACATATATTAAAATAATATATAAAAATCTATTATATTTTAAGCTAGTTACATAAAATGTTATCAATTTTTATGTTTATAAAAATTTAACTGTTTTTGTTTGGTTCGCAATCATTTTTTGCAATTATTGTGTCGAATTGCTGACATGTAATTGGCCAGAAGACATTTCAAGATGTTACATTAACCTGAAAAAGTATCACATTTTTTGCTATGCTATTAAAAGTACCAGTATGTGTTATAAACATGAGATGATACCAGTTACGGTACCTGTTTTAAAAATATTTAAAATTACTGCCATAACTAGAGATGGTGCTTGACGTGTTACTCTGATGACACCAGTAATAAAGGTCCAAAAAAAATGAAATTTGAAAAATTAACAAAATAAAAATATAATGCTTTTACTTCAATAACATACTATAACCTTTAACTACTATTGTGTGGTGCATACTACTGCTGTTGTAAGGTTCCAAATTTAGTTAATTTTTAAAACAAATTTATTCCGTCCCTACAAAATCGAAATATAGAGTCCGTGGGAATTTTATGTCTTAATATAAACATTCTCACGAGGAATACGTGCATAGTTTACAGGCAGAATTCGTCATATTGTTGCCATTCTATCACCACCTTTAATTTTTTATAAAATATTACGAAATATTACATTTAGATAAATAATTATTCACAAAATAAACGTAACATAGTAATTTTTGAAGAAAGAGGAAATAAACTTTTTTGACAAACCCTTAATTTGAAAGTTAGACAACCATCTGCATGTTTATCCCCTTCATTCCTTTTCAAACATCCCGTTGACAACAGAAAACCTAATATTTCGATTGGTTGAGTAACATTTAATATTGCAAAGCACATCCTGAGATCGAGGAGTTCTCCACCAGATCCACATAGAAAAGGGTCTACAGTGGTCCTCCATATAGAAGACAAGGAGTTCGACACAGATAACCCAAAAGTATAATTCGACTCCATAACATAGATCTCCGACGGCCCAGAAGAGAATAAGCCGTATGTAGAAAACTCGACTAAGTAATTTAACTTGTACGTTAGTACAATGGTTCCCAATTATTGTTACGCATATCCCTGGGAGTACGCGAAATTGCATGAAGGGGTACGCGCGGTAATTTAAAATCGGTCTATTTAAAATTTAAATGAACGAGATGAAGCAATAGAAAAGTAATGGGTGGACCATCAAAAATTCGGTAATTTACAACACGATATGGAATGCAAAAATTCGTTTATTTATAACTAAAAATATTTTCGAAATTTATTTAAAAAATGCATTTGTGACAATACCTAAATGAAATTCTTGGGCAAGAAACAAAAATTGTATAATTAACACAATTTGTGTTAATTATACAATTATCATTATCGTCGTGTCAGCGAACAATAAAATATTTTCTACCATTTTGCACAACGTAACTCTGCGAGAGCGGATTTTCGGCCATGACAAACACGAAAACTAAACATCGTCACCGAATTCAACTCGAAGATGACGCGAGACTGAAGCTGACCAAAAACCAACCAGATTTTACAAAACTGTGCAAAGAAAATCGTGCACATTTGTCACATTAAAATTAAATAACCTAATGTTATTTTCATTATTATTAGAATTGTATTTTAAAGGTAATAAATGTAAAAACAACTTATTTTATTTATCACTTGCTATCTACCCACAGCTTTGCCCGCATTATATAATGAATTTTCTCGAGGAAGTAAGATATTTTCTCGCAGTAAAATGTAGCCTATGTCCATCTCCAACATGTACACTATCTCTGTGCTAAATTTTATTAAAACCTGTTCAGCGGTTTAGACGTAAAAAGGTGACAGACAGACAGAATTACCTTCGAATTTATAATATTAGTATGGATTAATATAAATTTCTGCTATAAAGGGTACGCGAGTTTGAGCTCTTTCTTGAAAAATTAATTGAAAAATTAAAAAAATTAACGCAGGAAAAATTAATTGGGAACCACTGCGTTAGAAGAAAGAGTTATTCGACGCCTCTCTGAACTTTCAATAAAGATCACTCCGTAAGGTAGTAGAAAGATAGTGTTATTGTAAACTCTCTCTCCACTAAAAACGCGAGATAAGTCCACTTACTCGCGACCCTCCAACTCGATATTCTTTCAAAAAGGTTACGAGCGTGTCTAATGCTATATCTAGGCCAGTTTCAGGAAAAACAAACTTTCAGGGGTTTCTCTCGAACTTCTGTATTTTATTTTCAGTCTTAGCAAGCCATTCTTCGACTCTGCGGACAGTCCAGCCAATTGAGTCGCCGGATTAGTGGCAGAGAGACTTACCCAGACTCTCTACCCTCGGCTAGCTTCTCACAAATGGTGTCTATGAAGTGGGGTTTGATTTACTTCAACCTCCCAAAGCCTCACAAAATGGTGTAGCAGGATTGGAAGTTTAGATTTCTGAAAAGTTCCCAATCTCACTATTGGTGTTTAGTTCTGGAGAAGATAAGGCTGGATTTGAGTCACAGAAATTGTAATTCGAATTGTATAGGGATCTGTGATTCTTGGTTTTGGTATCGATAGAGATCGTTGATTTAGATAGTTATATACTTCATGTTAGATTTTAATTTTAAGTTAAAATAGGATAGAGATAAGTTTAATAATAATGGCCAAAGAAAATCCATAGGCTGTTTTAGGCAGTGTAGGAAGCCTAGTGCCATTGCTTTCAATGTTTTCAGGCGAGATAAGACTTCAGCATTGGAGATTTTTTTGAATACTTAGAGGGTGTAGGAAGCTGGCAGCCTGGAAAAAGGCACAACAATTAGCGATAACTAGATTAAAGCTGACAGGGATCGCGCGGCAATTTGCAAGGAGAGATAGAAAAATTAAAGATGTTGACAGTTACGAAGAATTTAAGGAACATTTAATAGAAAGATTTGAGAGAGTTCCCCCCTTAATTAAATTATTGGTACAAAAATTTTATGCCTGTGTACAAGCCCGAGACGAAGATGTCCAAGCTTATTCGGTTAGATTACAATCTCTTGCAGCTAAGATAGAAATAGAGCATGAAGGTGCCAATGAAGCAGAAGTGACTGTTATTCACCAGGTGAAAGCAAAAGAATTAAACGAGAGGCTTAAGGTCCAGTTCTTGAGCGGTATAGATATAAGGATCAGTCAGAAGGTGATGAAAAGCGAACCCCTGACGTTTGATAAGGCCTTACAGATCACCATATCCGAAAAAGACGTTGGAATTCTTGCTACAGGGCGAGGTGGAATAATATGAGGTATAGGGGAGAAATACAAAAACTCCTTACAGGGAAAGAATATAAGTATAGATGAATTGCAAGAGTTACAAAAACAATTAGAGAAATTGGAGGAAAAGCTACAATTTTCAAAAAGAAAAGAAACTATAGAAAATACTAAAAAAAGAGCAAAATAATAGATATAAAACTTCGCACTTACGTTATGGCAAAGAGAAGCGAGATCAGTGTAGAGATAAACATATCCATCCACGCCAAGACACAAGGAAGTATCAAATCGGAGAATGTGACTGGTGGAACGGGAAATTGTCCGCCGTTAAGTCTAGAAAGGATCCCTACATATTAATTTATTTGAATAATCTATACTAATATAATAAAGAGGTAATGTTTGTATGTAAGTTTGTATGCAGCAAGTAATCTCCAAAACTACTCATCCGATTTCAAAAATTCTTTCACCAATATTTAGAATGGAACTTCAGGGTGGACATAGGCTGTATATTATTCCGTTAAACATTCATATAAATTAAAATATATAATCTAGGTTAAGGCTTTTATGTCCCACAGATGGAGCTNGACAGGATTAAGGCTTACTGTGAAAAACTTGGCTTCTATTATACTATTTTAGATGCGGGTTTTTGCGTTTTTGATTGCGTTTTAATAGAGTATGTCAACAGAATGTACACTAAAAAGGGATTTTTCGATATTCCCCCTGCGGGGGAGAGGAACAGGATTAAGGCTTACCTTGAAAAGCTTGTCTTCTATTATAAAATTTTAGATGCGGGTTTTTGCGTTTTTGATTGCGTTTTAATAGAGTACGTCAACAGAATGTACAGTAAGAAGGGATTTTTCGATATTTCCCCCGCGGGGAGAGGGACAGGATTAAGGCTTACTATGAAAAACTTGGCTTCTATTATACTATTTTAGATGCGGGTTTTTGCGTTTTGATTGCGTTTTAATAGGGTACGTCAAGAGAATGTACACTAAGAAGAAATTTTTCGAAAAATTTTCTTCCAGGGGGGAAGTGTTATACATTTATAATAGATACATTTTGAGCCACAACAAGGCGTAGCGGGGTCTGCTAGTATCCCTACAAAGTTGAAATTCGACTGGGATGATGAAACCACAGTCATATCAAAAGCGTTATCAGAGTGATTAGGGGAGAAGACACCCATAATATTTGGAGAAAAATCTGAATTAGGGATTTTTCCAGCATAGGTTCTACGAGCGATAGGTGTTGCTGCAACGATATTTAAGCTACGGGAGCACAATTTCACGAATAATTGTCAGATAGTACAATCAGAATTAACAGGCCCTTGTAGGGGAATAAATGGTCGAGATATATTAGAAAGAGAAAACATAGAAATACATACATACTCAAAATAACCGGATAATCTTGCAAATTGAAAAAAAGTTCATTTCTGTTTGTCCCACATAAAAATAGGGAAGAGAAATAGTCAAAACAATAGAGAAAATGGCCGACAGTATTCAGAAAAAAACATTATTAGAAGCGTCCCAGTGTCTCCTCA